GCATGGCCGACTGAATATTTAGAATTTGAGCTTGAGCTTTTACTTTTTAAAACTTTACGCTCTAAAGTTAAAGAAAGGAGTATGAATGTGGCCACGGATGAAAGAGGCCAAGGAATGGAGGAGAAATACAATCAAAAGTTCGAGGAAAAAACATTGAATTTGAAGTTTTGTTTGCTAATTGAGTTTAGCAAAGAGGACTTAGAAACTTGGTAGTGGAAGAGGAGAAACAAAAACTATGTGTCGCAAAAAGTGGTGGTCAAGGTGCCACGTTTTTGATTTATTTGATGGACACTATTAATATGGTGGGGATATACTTGGTGAAAGTTGTTGGTATTGTTTGAATTAAAATCTCTTTGCAAAAGGAAAAGAATTTGAATAGTCATTTAGATATTTAAATGCTAACCAAGAGTTTTGATAATCTACAAGAATGCATATATATATATATATATATATAATGAATTTATTTATGTAAGAAGTTTTGGTTAACTATATATATAATAGATGTTGGAACTTAGTCTAAATAATCCAATGGATAGTCACGGTACCAAAGCAATAAGTAACCAATATAATGCAAATCAAACGAGTAGTAGAATAAATTAATACATCAAATCTTCACTAGATTAGTCACCTTCATTAACCTCACAAATAAAAACTGTTAAAGCGTTGGATTTATTTGATGAAATGGTATTTTAATTAATCTTAAATGATTACTATCAAAACATAATTTGTAATAAACCCCAATTTTTTTGAAAATAATTTCAACAAAGTATATAAGGCTTAGTGGGATCTGGTAAAGGAAATTGAATTTTTTTCAAACCAGTGTGGTTAAATAGTTTAGGAGAAAAAGTAAAATAAGTAAATAAAAAATCAGTGGTTTTTTAATTTAAAGCTAGTTTGTTAACACTATGCACATATAAATTGCCAAAAATATTATATATATATATATATATATATATATTTATGAAACATGAGGAAAATCTCAACTTTTAACCATAAATAAATAGAGTATGAACCATAAAAGATGGAGACTGTAGTTTCATAAATTTAAAAATATACATAATCATAAACATAGTTTGAGGTAACTAAAAGAGCAGTAAGTTTAAAACTAATGAACACATTGATAAACAAGTATAATGATTTTTAATTTAAATATTTCAATATAAATATTTATAAATAACTTTTATATTTCTTTTCATATTTGTTGGGACTTTACAGATATTTACTATTTTGCTCATTTTTTTTTTTTTTTTTTTTTAGTAAAAGACGAATCAACCATGATGTTTGAAGATGATATATTTACTTTAATTTCTATATAATGTAATACTCTATCTTTTGCAACAAATCACATCGGTAAATAAAAATAGAAGACAATGTAATAAGGAAAATTATATATATATATACATATACATTTATATTTTAAATGTTTTGTAAATTTATTCTTAAAATTTATTCTTGATACTGCTATTAGTAAAACACGAATTTAGGAGAATATTCCGTTAATCTATTTTTCAAAATTATATGTAACATCACATTAATAAACAATAAAAAAATTCATCAAATGAGATTAATAATTTCATATTTCTTTAAATGTATCACTCTCTCAAGTCAAAATAGCATTCTTTAATATATATATATATATATATATATATATATATCTTTTTGCTTGTATTCCCATTAACTTTGTAGCTTGTGATGATGTATAATAGACTTGTCCTGGTTTGAATTCGTTCTTTACTAAAAACCTCACAATAAGTGAAGGTTTTGTTGTTGTTCTTTTTTACAAAATGGCAACTCATCAATTATGTTATTTTGAATTTTCTTAATCAATAGGTTACTTTTTCTCCTCTTTGTTTATATCATTAAAAGTTCTCTATTGAATTGTGGAAAAAAATGATAAATTTCAATTTGTAAAATCAAATATTTATTTTCTCATTCTCTTATGTATATCAATTTTGCAAGCACTTTAAACAAAATTTGTTTCCAATTATAAGATATTAAATCCATAAAATAAATGGAGTCCATATAAAAAAGAAGAAATAGTTCATTGTTCTCTATTCTTTTCTTTGGTTAGAATTTTATTCTTATTAATAATAGTGAAGTGTGCTAAACAATTACAACCATGATTTCAAGTAAAAAAAAAGGAAAATTATGGATGTTTCTAGAAAGCATGGAAAGCGAGATGTTGGACTTGCACTTCATACAAGGAAGGAATCATGTGGACTTGGGCCACATGGGACGGTGCAAGACCTATTAGTAGTTGAAAAGCTTAAGTCTAACTTCTCCTCATTCATTGACTCTTTCAAAAGCCTTTTTATGTCTCATGTCCCACTCTGTTTCATTTATATTTCTCTCCTCTTCTAATTTAAATAAATTAGTCAACTTACATCATCACTAAATTAGATGTGGTCAAATGCTATTCATAATAGCAATATTAGTATAACTAAATAAATAAATATATAAACTAATAAATCTTCACATCAATAAATTTGGAAACAAAATTATTTTTTTATTTCTTTTATATAAATATATATATATATATATATATGTGTGTGTGTGTGTGTGTGTGTTCTCACACTAATAATCATATTTTTAGTTTTGTTGTGATGTTTTGTTTGTTTGTTTGTTTGTTTGTTTTTGTTTTTTTGTTTTCTTTTAAATTCAAGAAATAAAAAAGAAAAATAAATAGCATATGTTATAAGATGGCATAATCATGCCCATTGTTGAACTCACATGGAGTTGACTAGTTCTTTTCCTTCTTGGTTCATATCATTGTCCTTGTTTGGGTTCAAATGAATATCTTTTCACACATGCAATATCCGCACATATTTTCCACTCCATTGTATTTGCATGTTGCCTCAATAACAACAAGTTGTTTTTGTTAAATAGTTTTAGTTAGAGATAGGATCCGGTGTTTTTGTGAGAGTTTGAATGATATTAATCAGAAGAAAGATGGAACTTTACAGCATAAGACGTTTGTTAATATGAGAACCATCATGTTTGAAACTATTATTCACACATGAAACAAGTTAAAAATAAAATCATTAGAAGATGACTAATAATATGTGAAAAACTTAAATAAAAATAAAAATATTTATGATTTCAGTGTTAACTTTATTAAAATGTGTTTCTGAAATTTAATTGTTTATATATATATATATATATATATAGACACACAGATATATATGCACACATGAATGGTTTTTAACATCAAATCAAATGAAAATTTTGAGTTTGCATATCAGTTGAAAAAAATATCAAAGATAGAATTTTCAGTTTCGCTTAATTTTTTATTGAATTTTCAAATTTAATTCAAAAGATAATTACTTACCAATAAAGTTTTGATCTCCATTTCCTCTTAGCTCTGAAATGTTATTTTATGCCATTATTATAAAAGTAAAACTAATGAATTAAAAAAATAAAATAAAAAATAAAATGTCGTCACCATTTGCACATGTATATGCACTAAAGTTCACATATCTTAATAAAAACTACGATTCTTTTCTGAGTCCACCATCTATAAATGATTTAATTACATCAAGCATCCTTGCACATTTTGAATTAATATTGCAAGTTGATTTAATCAACTAGTAATGTTTTAGGCTATTTTATGTATCAAAAAGAAAAAATAAATTCATGCATTAAATAAATTGAAACTACAGTAAAATGACATACAATTGTTCTATCATTTTAAAGAGTGTTATTGTGAATCAAAGAAAAGTTCAAGTAAAGAGACAGCTTTTTCTATTTATTCAAAACAGCCAACCTAACATATTGCAAGACAACATTAAATTGACCTTGGACTGATACTATTTATTTAGTTCATCAAATTGTTATAATTTACAATTGTAGTTATTTTTTAAAAATCAATTTTAAACACGATTTACGAGTAAAAAAACATATATTATTAAACAATATTTTAAAATGCCTGCTGTTTGTGATCATGCCGTTCCAGCAGCTTTTAAAAATGCAATTCATTATACATTACTTAAATGTGTATATATAATACAATGTGGTTGTGTGTTCAATTCAAATAAGTTAAAAATAATGGAATATTTTTGTTTTGATGTCGTGAGATCAAATTGGAGGCTCAGATTCTAATTGTGGTGCACAGGCTTTCAAAAAAGTATGAGATTTGTTTTTAGTAATGCCCCTGTTGATTATTTTAGTTCGAGTTAACAGCAATTTGAAAAATGGCTCCAACTTTAAAACAAAATAAAATTCAAAATAAGCATCTTCATATCAATGGTTTGAATGTGTCCATCTACACAATGCATACCAATTCAAACGTGGAAACAACTCAATATTTTATTGCAAAGTCAGATTCTATTCAAAGACTGAAAAAGATCCACTCATATTCTATAGTTTAAAAACTACAAATAGTTCTGTATTTCAGTTTTTGAAGCTACAGTCACACAAGATTAAGATGGAATTTCACATACAGTAATGGGTAGAAGTTAACACGTAGTGAATTTCCTCACAAAATATAAAGAAAAAGAAAAAAGAAAAAAGAAAATTCTTCATTCATAAATAAACTAAATATAAGAAAATTCAAATAACTAAATATATCAAAAATATGATAACATACACACAAATAATAATAATAATAATACCTCGGTCAAAACAATAAAATAGTAAAAGGAAGGAGGTCAATACGGTACGATACAGTACAGTACAATACGAGACACAGTCAGCAAGGTCCCATGACTTTAACTTTAATAAGAAAGGCAAAAGGAGGAGGAGGGCAAGGAAAAGGAAAAGCATATCCCGCTCTTATCCCATAACGAAATACAACCAGAGCCGGCACCACTCGCAGCGAGGTCCAGGTCCAATCCCTCCTTCACTGGGGGGTAGACCCATTCCCACTGCCACCCTGGCCTCGATCCTACCGCTACCGCTGACGCGCAATCTCCAGCGTCAGCGTCAGCGGCGGCGGTAGCAGCAAAAGCAATTGGAAGTAAGCAAGCGGCGAGGGGAGGGAGCTATGGCGTGGACTGATTCAGCAGCAGGACAGCGGGATGGCGGTGGGGTGGCGATGAAGAACGCTTCCATGGATTCTTCCCTTTGTTTGCTTGCTTGCTTCTCCTTCACTTTCGTAGTGGTCTCCCGTGCAGATCAGCTCCCTTTGCCCTCTTCTCTTCCCCTACCCTACCATATATTAATTTTCTCCTTTAGCAAGTCTATCTCGCAGCCATCTCTAGCAAGTCGATCCACCACCCCCTTGCATTCCGTAAGCCAGGCTTTCCCAGTGCTCATCTTTTTCTGTGCAGCTGGAGTTGGGAGCTGGAGACAGCTTTTGGGGCCTGCAGGTGCGAAGTTGAATGATTCTGTGAAGCATTTTGTGGAGCTTTGTGATGTTCGTGTCGGTAGTGGAGTTGGGATGGATCGTGGTCTTGGACGTAGTGCGAATGAATGGGTTTGTGTTTTGGGATTTGATGTGGGGGATCGGTTGTGCTTCCTTGGGGCTGCTGTGTGTGTGTGTGTGTGTTTTTTGTGGATATTGGTGTTTGCTATGCTGAAGTCATGGCGGCTTGACTTAAGAGTGGGTTGTTGGCATTTGGAGTGCGATTCTTAGCTTGGTTTCGATTCGGGCTGGCTTTCTGTGGTTGTAGCAACTGGGTACAGTTCCAAGAATTCTGAATTAGCGCTTTTGCTTACTCTTTTGTTCTTCTGGCCTCCCTCCTGCTGAAAGTCCTTCTTACTTTCTCCTGTTCTTGAGAGTCTTCCTCGTAGAGTTGGTAAGGCTGAGATCGTCGTCTTCGTTCTATGTGAGGCGGGATCTTCGCGTCAGAGATGAATTTCACTACGTTTGGTCTCAGATTGTGATGCAGTATCGATGTCACGATCCCAAACCGTCCAGATTAACAGTCGTTTCAGTGAGTCCGAGTCTTCGTAATAAAGAGATGGTGAGCACAAGTCTTAGTGAAGGATGTTTTGTTGATTGTGTATATCAGGTCGTTTGAATTAATGATGGATCGAACTAAATAGGAAAAAAAGTTCAAAAAAGTAATTGAATAGAAATTCTCTTCGCACAAATCTACGTTATAACGTTTCATGAATTGGGAGAAGTTTTTTCTGATAATGTCTCATTTCCTGTTGAAATATAGAGTGTGTTTGGCGGATCTACAATGGGTGTCTCAGGACCTGCACATTTTGTGTTCGTCCACGGTGCTGGACTTGGTGCGTGGACCTGGTACCGAGTAATTGACCACCTGAGGAAGAAGGGGCACAAGGCCACAGCCATCGACCTCACAAGCTGCGGCAGAGATTCTGTTGACCCCAACACCGTGACTTCGTTCATGGATTACAACCAGCCCCTCGTCGACTTCATGCAGACGCTCTCTTCTGACGAGAAGGTTGGTAGTTCTTCTTGAAATGCATTGCATTACATACCAAAAAAAGGTTGAAAACTGGTTTTCATTTGCACAAGCATATTATTGTACGAACGTACTGCATTTTGTATCTCTATCCGGTATGTAGCTTACACTGACAACGTTGTTCCTCCTGATCTTTATGCTTCAGTTGTTATTGAGCACACTTGCATTTTAGAAATCATCTTCTGAGCACATTGTTGAGGTTTGGCTACACTTAAATTGATTGAGTTTCTTATCAGGCGTCAGAAGTTTTTGTTCACATTTGTTAACATGAATTCTAGCAAATAATCCTGCTTTCGTGTACCCGCAGGTTGCTCTTGTTGGGCACGATCTTGGAGGTTTGAGCTTGACTTATGCGATGGAGCACTTCCCCAAGAACATTTCAGTCGCTGTCTTCCTTGTTGCCATGATGCTACCTAGCGGCTTCCCTCTTACTTATGAGGTGATTGTTCTTGTACTGCCTTAAAGTTTTATCACTTCAACCATAATCTTTTGATTGGCCTCATAGCTGATTTACATGTATATGAAATTTGCAGCTGTTTGAGATGGATCCAGCGGTGAGCAACCACATCGAGTATACTTTCGGCGATGGAACTCATGCCATGCCCACTTCATTGTATGTCACGGAAAAAATACAACCCCAGGTGTTCTACAACATGTGCCCATCCGAGGTCAGGCCCTATCCTTCTAACACATTTTTGTGGTATTTCTGCGGTGTCTGCATTGATAAGTAGCCGAGAATGACTGGTAAACCATTGTCTTAAAACGTGCTCCTCTTTCACAGGATGTTGTGTTGGCGTCTCTTCTTTCAAAGCCCGTGCCGTTGAAGATGCTCGACGGGTTCTGTGTTGAGTACACGGATGAGAATTATGGCTCCATTCCCAAAGTTTACATTAAAACAATGAATGATAAGGTCCTGCCTCCTGATGCTCAAGAAGAGGCTTTCTTATTTGATAAGACCTGCTGTGCCTCTGAGGTCCGGACAATCGACTCCGACCACAGCCCCTTCTTCTCCAAACCTGTGGAATTGACTCAACATCTAGAGGAAATTTTGGCCACCTTCGGTTAAATCATGGAATGTGCAAGTGCTGAAATGACCACACGCATCTTTCAGATGTTGCACTCATATATTGAACTCTTGAGTGTGTTGGATTTGACTTCCACTGTTGGACATGTGAAGCCGTGAGAGCATTGCTTGTTCGGTCTCTCTGATCCATAGATAGCATAATGTAGCATAGGTAAATTCATTGGCAAGTATTGGTTAAAGCATTAATCTCCATGCTCTGTAAGGTAGCGAATAAGTGGTTAGGCTTTGAATGGCACGGGTTCCTTTTATATAGCTCGCTGCCCATCTCTCTCTCTCGCTCTCTCTCTCGCTCTCTCTCTCTCGCTCTCTCGCTTTCTCTCTCCCCCTCTCTCTGTATTTCTCCATCTCTAGGTGTGTGGTAAAGCAGGTCATGCCGGTGTATGTTATAGCATTTTGCAACTGAGTTACAATAGTAAAGTTCAAAGTTTAACAACATGGTTCTTTTCGTGGACTATCTTAATGGACTTGGCACTTTGAAAGCTGAGATGTCACGAGTCTTTTCGTTTCCATCTTTGAGTCTGGAGTTTAGGGGATCAGTAAATATTGGTACTCTGGATTTTTAGCTACTTCAGTCCTCTATTGTGCCATGTAAGGATCAGGAAATTGATTACTGAAATAGCTCTTCATTTAGAGAAGATACTATGAATGCACTGTTTGTTTGCAGACTTTTACAGCATTGAAAGACATTCATCATCAGGAGCTTCAATCACCTCTATGTAATTGTAGTTTTGGATGCCGAGGTAAAGCATCTTCTATTACTCAAGCTGGGTATAACTTGAATGTTCTAGGTGGCTGAGATATTTTGCAGGAAACCTCCTCAGCTTAATCATTTCATTGATAAATAGTTAGTGATGAAAACAGCAGTGTGTGTAATGAATTTTGTATCGCGAAGTGCTAGTGATTTGGATTTCATTAGCCTTCATGATTTTAGCTTTGCCTTTGGTTTTGATTCCACACCATTCAACCACAATCTATCAGTGCTCGTTGCACTTGTTCTGGTACATTTTTTTAACCACTTTGAGTCATTCAAATGTCGTTCTGGAAGTTTTAAGTTCTGAAATAAACCTGTCTTTCAACCACAGTGAGTAACATTAACAACTTCACATTAATTCTTTCGAAGATCAGTTTTTGGTTTTGTTATATGTCTGTTCATTTTTTTCGACAAAAAATTCTGAACATTTTCATTCTTTGACTTTAGTAGATTTAATGCCAAAAATTATTAATATATTTTCTTTTTTAAAAAATCTAAAAAATTATTAATATCAAAACTTCAGAGTGCATAGTTATATAGAATAACTTAAAATTGGAATTCATCAACTCCAAGCCAAAATCTTTGTTCGCTTAAAACATTATATTATTTAAACAATAGTAATGAAAATTGTTACAGGATTACAAACCCTGTCAATTTTTTTTGAATTGCCCCCAATACATAACTGAATAAAAGAAATCACAATATTCAATGCATATGGAATATTAATTTAGTTCAAATATAATTTTCCAAATCAATGTAAAATTATTGCAATATGTAAACATTACTTCTTCAATAAAGTAGTGATTATTTATTAACATAAGTTTATATTTAAAAATTTATACTGTAAGTATGCTGAGGGCTGTATAAATCCTATGTAGAGTATTATTAGAAGACTCTTTTTCTTTTCCTACAATTACAAAATATTGCAAGAATGCTTAAAAAAGATCTACAATACTAACTCTTTGTAGAACTTCACAATTAGTAGTGAAATAGTCCTAATCCATCAAAAGCTTTAATTAGACTTTCTTAAATTCAATTTTTAATTTAGAGTCTTCATCAAACCACAAAGAACAACTTTTACAATAGAATCATGTAAAATTTTTTTGAAGAATAAAAATTAGCTAGTTTAGCAAAGTTCTAATGGTTCATTTGAATTTTTTTTTTTTTTTTTTTTTTTTAATATTTCTTAAAAATTAATTGCCAAAGATAAATATCTTTATTCCAAAATATTAATAATATAATAATATACTCATTATAAATAATTTAAAATAATCTACGATTATAATTATAAAAACAGTAGTTTGACTTGCAATAAAACAATATTTTTGCAAAACCTTTGACAAAAATAAACTATGCCATTATTTTTTAATAAGTTTGCTAATGCAAAAGATACAATGCATAAAGTATGACAATAATGAGGTCAAAATAGCAAAACTAAATATTGACTCTACACATGAATTGCTCATTTAAATTGATGATAAACATACTCACTTAGAGTTTAGAGATATTATTAGTAATTTTTGCATTAAGCACTATAAAAGACAATCTTAAATATTTTTTGAATTTCTTGTAACTAGAATTTTATGACTTTATTTGTGTTTAAGTAAGCTTAGAGATGTATTTTTTGAAAGATCAAAATACTAAATTGTAATACACATATACATATATACAAAAATAAATGTCTAATTTTATAAAAATAGTATTTGACTTTATGTAATGATATTAATTTTTTTACTCATTAATTAAATATTAATTTATTTCTAAATATCAACTATTTTTTAATATAGTTGATTAAAAAAATTACTCAAAATCTAATCTTAATTTTTCTATACTCATCCCTCAACTAAAATAAATTCATCAAGTGAAAAAAAATTTATATATATATAAACCAACTAATTTTGTAAATTCAATTCCCAAACAAAATCTTCAACCATGTTTTAATTATCTTTATATCTTCAAATTATTTTTTAGTCATGCAAAAATACAAGCAATGAATTTGACAAGTTTTTGACAAAAAGATCTTACCTCAAAACATGAACAAGCTAAACACATCCATATTCTAAATGCTTATTTAGAACTAACCCAACATGCCCACACAACCAAGTTCTGTGCACTCTAGATCATGAAAAACTCACCCATTAAAACACCACAACAACCCATTGTCATTGTACAACATGAAATCCTCATGAAAATCCCACATTCGTTCACACGTCTGGATGAAAGTAATCACCCATCCACTCATCAATTCAGCCATCCAGCCATCCATCCATCCATCCATCGGATGAAGTGCGGGGTCGGCATCGTGGTGAATGCCGTTGCCGAGGTACGTCGAGGAGCAGCAACGGCGACGATGGAGCGCACTGCGGATCGAAGCGGCGTTGTTGGATCGGTCGCGGAGTAGGGGGGACGCATTCACATCGTCCACATTGAAATCGCACTACCTTACCGGATCTGCTATTGTTGATGATACCTGACCGCATGATGGGCGAGAAGACTGGTGATCATGGCGCACCAGGACACCGTAAAAACTCACCAGGCGCTGGAAATATGATTGATTCTGATAGGCTTGCTTTGAAGTGGGTCCGTTGAATTATTACCCCGTAACTCACAAGCATCTTGGATCACAACAACTATTTGTTTTCTGCGACTGGGGAGATGGTAAAAGAGACTGACTGCAGTGTATCGAAGTGTGGAGAAGCTTGCCCTCTTTCCAGTGTCTGTGTCATCAACGCTTCACGCGTCTGGTGGTTTCTCATGCCGCGTTTGATTCTGAGGCTGTGCCTGTGGCAGCCTGTTGGACCTCTAACTCCCAGCTTTCGGCGACACCGTTAATCGAATGAGCTCTTCTGTGAGCCTTGGAATCCTCTAGGGAGTCCATGATTGAACTTTGTTCCCTTGTCGATTACATGTCGACAGTTGGGTCTAGAGATTATATTTTCATTGATATTTGTTTTTCGTTTAAATACTGGTGGTTTTCTGTTTCCTCGCTCATTTGTCTTACTGCGACAACTATAGTAAAGATACTGTATTGCAGGGTGGCAATCGAACGGATGTTATTATGACTGCCATGATGTCTATTTCTAGAAAATCCTCTTCGACTAATCTGCCAGGCTGAGCAAGTTTGTCAGAGCTTTTCAAACATGCGTCTGCCTATCTTCTTGTCCTGGCACTGAGCGAACAGTTCAGAAACCTACAGCAACGTAACTGCAGTGGACACAATCAGAATTCGGCACCCATCACCTTCACGTGTAGACGAATACAAACTACGGTGGACTGGTTGGCGTAAGCTCAGGCCGTGTTCTACTAAGAGTGACCACTTTCAGTAGTTTTCTAACAGAACGAACAAAATGTCTGTTCTTGCTCAGAAACAACGCTGCTCTGACAAATGCAAGCTTGGGCAGCCCTAATGGTTGGCGGTGTCTAAAAGTACTGTTGATTAGAAGTGAAACACAACGATTCTGCAGTATAAAACATGCAGGCTTTTGGACCCGTGTGGTGATAAACCCACAGCGAACGTGATAACAGCGACTGAAGCTCCGCAGTTGGATCTTCGAGTCTCTGGAAGAAGGTATTTCAGCTTTCTGCAAGTGGTCAGAAGCTGGGGCCGATGCGGAAACATGATTCGGTTGGAAACGGATTTCATAAGCCGGTGGTGATGCTCCGTGTGGGCAGATAATCAATATCTTATACAATTCAAACAAACCAAGGAATCTGGTTAAGTTTTTCCTGAATTAGAATGTGGTGTTTTCTAACATAGTCTAGGTTCCGAAGTCGACGGTACATAACATGGTTAAGAAATCTTTCCTCATGGATTCTTACAAATGAAGAGTGGATTGCTACGATATCATTCTATTGCAAAATCTTTGGAGAAGTATGGATTACTGTTTTTCCAAGAGAATTAAATTTAGAGGACTTCGTTCCTTCCGGATTTGAAGAAAGGAAAATAAAGAAATTTGTGAAACAAGTACTGCATGTTGAATTATGTAAGCTTACACAAGCAGCAAATTCTACCTCCTATACCTTTTACAATATGTTTATTTGAGTAATTCATCTGCAATGGTTTATTACTTAATGGTGATTAGCTATCAAACTTCAAACTTGTGTATCAATGTTGTTTTTACAAGTCTAAGGATTTTACTTTCCATCTGAGCTTTAACACTCAAACCTCCAAGGCTCAAATATGCTTGCAGAACCCAAATCCTTTATATTCTTTTTTTTGAACATGCAGATGAACACACAAACTTGCTGTGGTCTTTTTGAATATTTCAATAGACTACGAGTGATTATTTATAAGATCTTAGATTAGCACAAGAAACTATAAAATAAATGTTAAGAAATCTTTGTAACATATTACCTACAATAAATTTGTTATCCTCAAAAGCTTTTGATACAAAAAAAACATCTATTTTTAAATAAAAAATTATATATATATATATATATATATATATATATGCAGAAACCCTTGCAGTTGGGCACAAAAAAATTGTAACATTTTATTTTACCAAGACAAAAATCAATAACTCTTAATGAAATGTTCACTCCAACATTATTTATTTATTGATATTTTTTTCTGAAAGCCTGTCTTCTCATACCCTACCCTAACTATAAGCACCTGCAGTCCTACATAAACCTTTCCAATTACAAAGAGTAAAAATGCTTTTTTTGAACCATAACTGACAAAAATCAATCAGTAACTTTATATGAATATACATATATATATATATATATATCTGTGTGTGTGTGTATATATATTTAATTAGAATTGATGAAAAAAATTTAAATAAAATAAAATCGGGTGCAATTGTTTTCTATTTCATCCATATCATCATGAAAGAGTTGGATCCATCCCCAGGCAGGCATTCACAACGCAAGGGAGGGAGGGACATGATGGATGAACTAACCCCTCACAGAGAGTATCATCAACCAAAACACATCCATAACCATCAAGGGTGAAACTGCTCATCATCCACAGAATCTGACAGGAGGCGAGCGAGGGGAGGTGTCCAATCGCGGGTTCGAATGTGAATCCCAGCCAGGGGGGGAGGGGGTGTTGGGTGTGGTCTTGGAACCTCCACCCCCTGCTCTTTCGTCTTGCAACGCTTGTTGTTGTATTGTAGTAGTAGCCATGGTTTTGCTTGAGGGACAGAAGAGGCTCCCTCCGATGTGCGAAGAAGGATAAACGACATGCACTTGTCCCTTCTCGTCGTCGTCGTCGTCCTCCTCCTCGTCGTTCCTTGCTGGTTTTGTAGAGGCGTTGAAACTGGTGGCCAGGCTTGGAGCAGGCGTAGGACCAAAACCCCTTCACTGCAGCTCCCTGAGCGCGTCACATGGCAGCACTTAAAGCGGCTGGGAGGGTTCATAAAGTCAAGCTCAATTGGCTCCAGCGCTGGTTGTGGTAGCGGTGAAGAAGAGGGCGATGGCATGTGGGGTTGGCCTGTTTTCATTTAAACAAATAACATCCGCGAGGCAAAGCGTCGCTTATCCTACGAGTCTTTGCTTCCTCCGAGCTGTAGTAATAAAACTAAATAAAAAAATAAACTGGTTTAAAAACTACTGTGACACAAAGGGTAAAGACTAATGGAATGGTGACCACAATGATTGATGCTTGCATGAACTTCCGTACACTCTACCGTGAGATATTCGTAGATGAGAAGTTTTTGCAAGGGTTTAATTAACCGTAACAGACAAGAATGTAGTGATCAAGAACACCACTTTGAAAAAGTGGCTAATGCCATTCTGATTCCAGCCATGAAAAAAGTGGGTTGTGTTTCTAAGTGATACTTAAAGGGGAAAAAAGTAAAAAAAAGTAAAAAATGAATCAATAAATAAATATATAAATAAAATCACCCCATTGGTTTTTCGACAAATCACTGTCGAGGTTGATAATAAAAGTGTCGGTTGTGGACGATTCTCGTTGCAAATGAATGAACGACTGGTAATATCGATCGATGATAGCCTGTACGTGAACGAAGCCACCAGTTTCGTTGACGGCCATCGGCTCAGGTCACATGACGAGTGTCGATATAAAATCGGCAACTTACTGCTGTACAGAATGTCAGGACTTGTGCAGGGCCATGCTGACCCCACTTTCAGCAAATGACCACGAGCTTGGTTGTATCCTAGTTGCGTTGCTTGCAGAGCTCATGAAAGCAGAGAGAGAGATCACACGAGTCAATCTAAACTAATATAATGCCAATTGAAAATACAGATTTATCAAGTGAGTGGATCAGATTCGGCACTCGATGGACGTGGCACAGATCTCCGAGCTCGACTCTTCCCTGAATCACAAACGTTCAATGAAGGTAGAGCTTGAAACCATACTGCGAGTGTAAAGGAGCGCATCCAGTTCTAGCATTTTCCAGACGAGTATTTAAGTGTCCAGCATGAAGCGGGAGTAGTGAGTCCCCAGTGGCCAGGCCCTGAGTTCGTTCATATGGCACCTGCCGTGGTACCAGAAGCTCCAATGCAGTACATAATCGTCCGATTCCACTGGCACTTCCTCTGACGGGATCTTCGACTGTCTTTGGCCACGTCCGCTGAGCATAGTCCGTCTCAAGCATTTTCCGCGGTGGGCTCCGTGATGCCGTGACCGCCATCGTTGCAACCACCAAAGTCCTTCGCCAACTTGGCATTTTGTGAATATAGATACGAGAGCCGGCAAGTGCATTTAAGTTGTGTTAATCTACATCTAGTACTGTTGATGGATTGTTGGGTATTTATATACAGTGATAGATGGAGGTTGTGGAGTGGTGACAAGTGTATTACGAAACTCACAAGTCAAGTTGCTCAAGCAGTGTCGGTTAAGTGGCGGTCGTGAGCTGTGGCTGGAAGCTTCGACCATAGTAGACTTCGACTTCATATCTCTGAGCAGGCGCGTTTTCGGCAGTACATATCATAGATTTTGCAAAATCAGAGTATAAACCCAGGAACTCGTTCTAAGCTCAATCGGAGTGGACTGAGACCTGCAGGCGTTAGCTCGACTGCGTGAAATAACGTGATTTCAGGTGAGCATTCAAGGTTCTGCCAAGTTGAGTTTAAGCCTGTGGGCAAGAGTTGCATGGTACAATGTCGTGTCTCGTGCGCAGGCTGGCAGCCGGCTGTAGGAGGGCCAGTTTGAAAGTCACAATGTTCGCGTCCTTAAGTTCGAGGGTCTATGATTCAGATTTACTAGATTTTTGCTCGTCTGTACTGGCAGTGCTTATCCCATCAGATTGCGCTACCACATCTGCTTGGCAACTTGTGTCAGGTGTTGCGCTCTTGGCATGCAAGCCACCCATTATGGAGGTTGGCCGTGTGTCGGTTCGTGTGAAACCAGCTGAAACTGTATTGTTGAACAAGTCGTTTTGAGTTTATTTCAGGATTCGGGGTGTGTTGAAGTTCGTGGTTCAACAGCAAAGTGGAGCTTTAAAATCAAGGGGTTCATATCCGAGGCTGTTGTGTAGTTGTAGCCCTGTTAGGCGCTCTCAAAGAGCGGCATCTGATGACACCTGTGCCCTTAAGCTCCGTGCCATTGATATCAAGCTTTGCGGAGCACCAAATTTCCCCAATGGAAACTAGGAAGGAGTCCGAGTTTGTCAGAGAGCTCATCAGGAGACAAGTAGCTCCGAAGGGGGCGTCTTCGGAGACAGGGAGGAAAGCTCTGGAAGACAAGCTTGTACTGACAATGGAGGAGATCAGCAAGCACAAGAGCGAAACGGATGCATGGGTTGTGGTTGACGGAGTTGTTTATGACATCACCCGATTTGTGGACACTCATCCCGGCGGTGTAGAGGTTGACCTCTCCTCTTTGGCTCAATTGCCAATCGAAATAGTTATGTTTGGCAACGTTACAAGTGTCGGTTGCTACTCTTTTGTGCAACACAATAGAATTGAACCAGGTGCTTATCCTCGCTGCAGGTAATCTACCAGCATTTGCATATGAGTGACGTCGGCAAGTTGATGCGAGGCGAAGAGGGCGACTCTCCCGACTCTCATCCTCATAGCAAATACGCCTTCCGTATGCTCCAACAGTATCGCATCGGCCGTGTTGGTGATTACAGGAGGTACAGTAATTGGGCACCCTCCCCCTGCTTTTTCCACGTCAGGTAGCTTATGTTTTGCTCAATTAAGGTGCTTGATTCGCTATTAAGTTTTCTTCAATAAAGTAGTGATTATCCCGTGGCAATTGCAGTGGTGATGATACGGCGCATTCAAACCGTGGCAGCGAGGAAAGCAAATACGTTGTGGATCTCAATAAGCCCCTCGTCTTCCAGGTTGGCCATAGTTACGCAGGATGATGTGAGGGAAGTTTTCATAACAAAAACAAATAGTTTAGCTGTTTGAAAAATTGAACTTAGAAGATGGCGCTTCGAGCTCAATCCCTGAGTTACAAAGTGAGCGCACAAGGTTTACGGGCAGCCTATCACATAATTTGGATGTTGACGATGTCATGGTGATAATTTGTTCAGGTTGGGAAATTGGGTGCTGACTACGATCGATGGGTGCACGACCCCGTGGTGCAGAAGGAGCCTCCTCGGTTTTTTGAAAGTGATATTGCTGAGGTACTCTATTCCTTGAATGGTTTGCAGGCATTAGAGTATCTTTGGACGAATTCCTGGTGAATTACTTCTCAACTGAAGTGAAAATTGTCCATTGAGATCTTCGAGTTTTGGGACTCAAGCTGCAGATTTGTGAGCAATCGTGGAATTCGTTTGTTGCAGTTCTTTACACGAACAGCATGGTGGGTAATACCAGCAGTATGGGGACCTTTGGTGATATATCTCGCAGTCCTCGCCCACAAAGGCGGACTATGGCTATCTACTGCACCTTTCGTCATGGCCATCGGAGCATTTATATGGACGTTTATTGAGTACTTGTTGCACCGCTATGTTTTTCACATGAAAACGACTGGCAAGTGGTACGTGAGCGATCCTGCATGAAAAGGAAAGCTCTGGGGATTTTGGAAGTCTAAGCACAACAATGCTTTGATGTTTGTTTGACCTTCACCAGGATTATGTCTTATATGAAGATATGAATCCCCCCATTCTCTCCTCATACTGTTGACATGATTCTTTCTATCAATTTATCTTCAAAAACTCAGAATTGAAGAGATCTGCATTAAATTTGCGCAGGTCATGTACCGCACATTACTTTCTACATGGCTTTCATCATAAGCATCCGATGGACGGAACGCGTCTTGTATTTCCACCTGCTGTCACTGGAATTCTCGTTATTATTGTAAGGAACCCTCACCTTCGCCATCATCCGAATTTGTTTGGTATCCTTTATATTAATTGATATTAAGTAACAGAAATGTATTACCAACTTGTTTACAGTTATGGCAAGGTTAATGAAACATAATCCTCGTGATACCGACTTTGACGTGGTCTGAATACAATCAAGAACCTCTAACTGACGAACAATTTTGTTCACAGATCTGGTACCTGACCGAGCCGCTGGTGCTGCTTCTTGGGAGGCCGGTGAAGCTGAGCTTGTTCAGTGGCGGACTGCTAATGTACATCGCTTATGACCTCACACACTACTTCCTCCACTTCGGCACTCCTCACAACGAACTAGCACGATCGCTGAAGGTATCCTACTGCTGCAACAAACTAACCTACTGCTCTCCGGCTTCAACATTGGCATTGTTTCCTGAATCTAGTCCAGAGGATCATCCATTGCTAATGTAAAGCATGTGCCGGTGTAAGCTGAATTATTTTCTCAGCACTTTTTGTGTGTGTGGATTCCTGCAGAGATCTCACTTGAACCATCACTTCAGAAACGAGCATTATTCTTTTGGGGTCACCTCCCATTTCTGGGACACAGTCTTCGACACTGCTCCGCAGTATATGAAAAATCTGTTACCAGATATACAGTGATCCATGAAACCTCGGAGTCCATTTTCTTCGCTGTTAATGTCGATGTAGATTAGCAAATTTGGAGGCATTCGTTCATTGTGCACAGCCGCCATTCTAAGGTGTCCCTCTTCAACCTGCTGAAAATGGAAGTTCACGTAATGGCTAGTGTTTTCAAACGTCTGTTTAGCTTGTAAAATTCACTTGCAGGAAACGTTATAGAAGTTGACTAGTTACTCACCCGGATGGACCAAGATTGAATTTATGATCTTAGTCCTGGGTCAGTTTAACTGCTTGTAGAAAAAAACATGAGACAATTCGCTTTTTGCTAAGCACCAGAAAGCTGTATCTTTCTTGTTAGTTGTGAAGACACGACTCACATGAACACACACTGAAAAAGATAGGACTTTCGGTCGTGCGTATGAGCACAAGAGTGTCTTTAGTTGAGAGTCTTCTGCTTATTGGTCATAGTCTGAAGGAAGATGATCTAAATAAACAAAAACAAAAGTTTGAGGGGTACCCACATTCAGAAACTCATTTTGAAAGCATCATGAAAATTTCTGTCCTGGTGAAGAAAAGTTGTTATTTGGAAGTTTTGACTTATGGAGATAATATAATGCATCACATGCATCGCATGTACCAAATCATTCTATGATTCTCAATATGACAGCTTGTATTTTATTCTATTTTATTTCTTTACAATACTATAACAATAATCAAGTATAATGTACTTTTGTCCTTTTCTATACAAACACAAGGTGTGTGGACAAAATTAGATTTAAAGGTTCATGCACCAACTCTGCTTCCACCCTATCAGTTATTTTGTCCATTACCAATCATAGTTTGCACACATGCTTTCATTCCTAAGCTTCTAGAAGAGCAAAAAGGCAGACCCAGGGAATGAGTGACATGAGCTCTCACTGCAAACAATTGTGTGTCCAGCTGGATGTGAAACAAAACATGTTGAGGGTAATAATATAAATAATTTGGTAACATTATGAAGCTGTCATTTCTGTAGGGTTTAACTGGAATGTCTAAACCCTTGCAGTGGGAAAGGACCCAGGTAAAGAGTTGCTGGTGGTTTGGGTTGTGTCAAAACAAAGCCCTGAGCATGATGTTTTCTGGACTTGAATCTCCATGTTCATTGCAAAATTGTCCCATCTGCCAACTCAAATGTGCTATGTGGTGCACAAGTTTAGTTCAATCTTGTCGGGATACTTGGAATGTGCAATGGATTGGGTGGATTTTGAATTGTTTGTTGCCTCCTGCACCTTGGCATGCTGCATTTTTTCTAGCATGAGGGGATAAAATCAAATAATAAATAAAGCCATCATTTGTTATGATTATTATTATTATTTTATCTCTTCCAAAATTCAATGAAACTATGATGCCATGTTATAAATAAGGATTACAAATTGATTCTCTAAATTATAATTAATTTCAATAAAACAAGTGTATTCAACTATTATAAGAAATTTTGTTATATGATTATAATAGAATTTGAAGATGTGATACCATTCTTGGAGTTATGGTAATCCATACTTCTTAAAATTGTAATGACATGTTGAATTTTTATAGATTGAAAAAAAAAAAAAAAAAAAAAAAAAAAATCTTCCAATGAGTCAAATTTGAAATATAAAATGGTTGTGATACCATGATAGTAGGAACAATACAGTTTATTTTTACAAATTTATTTTCCAACATCTTCCACTTTAAAAAAATAAATAAATTATTAATATTAAAATTTATATAAATAAATTACAAAAACAATAAAAATAAACAAGACCATAAAATCATATTAACACTAACTTGACAAACATTAAAAAACATCTCTTGTAGTATATTTTCATTATTATTATTATTATTATATTGTCTTCAGTTGCATATTTTTTTTATGAATAATTATGGATCTTATTATTTCTAACAACTATTTTTACTTTTTCCACCCAATTTTCCAGGTGGTCTTGCAATCTGTGTAATAATTCTTTATAACCTTGATATTTATCATCCTCCACAAATCCTCGTCATCTTAAGCAGCAAGCACCAAAGCTCAGAATCAACAATTATTGTTGCCAAAGCCAGTCATGTTTATGATTCTCTACAAATTCAAATACTTTCTGCTGCCCAAGGCACTCATGTTTATGATCCTCTACAAATTCAAATGCTGCCCAAAAACTGAGGTTTGGTATGTGAAATTTTCTTGGACATTTGATGTCAATCTCATGTGTAAATTGCTGTGCATCTCATTAGGTGTGGAAGGTGAGTTCTCATAATCTTTGTAAATTTGCTCGCAATTTTGTTTTTCAATCACACTTCAACCATTGGACCAACGTTTGACCTTTATTGTTTCTTAATATGAGAATTTGGTTTCATTTCCCTTTTATTCTATGTTATTCCAATCACAGTTGATGCAGTGTTCAACTTATTTGATTGGTGTAGTTGTGTCACTGATGTAGTTGCATTGGCTTAGAAAGAATTACTACAAAAGGGGCCTTGAGGTGTGAAATCATAGCTGCTTGCAATCCATTTTGTTATTATGAATTTTAAATATATGATGGATACATTTTGTTTGTCATAAATGTCCAGTTTAGTTTCAAGTTGGATGCTCATGAGTCTATGTTGTCTTGCAGGTGTGGATATAGGAGCTGCACTATGTATCTCTAGGTGATGCCATAATATTCAATGTGATTATATGCTGATGGTTTTCTTGACACCTTCAACTCTCAGATATGATTGTTTTTGGTAGGCCTGTGATGGTCACTTTAAGTAGACATTGTGTAGTTGTTTCTTTGTTGGATGCAAAGCCCATAATCACTAACCATCATCTGTATTCAACCCTCACAATCCCACCTCTTTGGTATGATCTACATGAAAAATTTGCACTTGAAACTGCAGTGTATTTCTATCATAATCACTACCAATTAAGCCAAATACTCCATTGTGATTAAAGCAAAATAAAGTTACATTGTGTAGTGCACTTTGTTACAGGCTCTTGCCCTTGGGTGAATGCTGTATGTCTGTTGATTGAACACAAGGAGGCCTACTAGATTCCTTGCTCCCTATTTCCTGCCCTTGCAGCTTGTTCCCTGGAAATAGGCCTATGCTCTGTTGTCCTGTTTAATATTACCCTAAAAACAGACCCTTCGATTGACTCGATTCTAATTTTTTGAGTGTTGCTTATTTGCCTCTTGTCTACTTCTAGCCTCTCAAGCCCTTCTTGCTTATTGCAATAAGCAATGTCGCTTAGGCGGAATAGATCCTTGTCTTCTATATCAATTAATACCATTGATGCAAAGATGTGGAGTTGTGTATTAGAAGTGGTACTACTTTTGTGTTGTCTTGTTTAGTAAAGAAGCCATTGTTGCAATGGCAAGGATTCAATTGAGTTGCCTTGTACAAACTTTGTCTCAACCTTAGCTTGTGCTCATATTTTTTTCCACATGATGTCTACAAACAATTATTATATATTGTGTGGGAGGTCCATATCTATTGCCCCATCTATATCTAGATTAGTTTTATTTTGTCTGTTGTATCCAAATTTTTGTTATTGATGTAGATTTGTTGGATTCTTTGGCTATTAGTGCAGTTTGCTAAAACTCTATTTTACCTTTGTTATTCTGCAATGGTAGCAAAGCTCTATTTGGGTGCCTTCTAAGGTCTTCGGAAAATAAGTATTACAGTGGTAGGAGTTGCGAGGTAGATTTTGTTACCACTATTGTTGCAAAAATTTCTCCCTTTGTTCAAGTTCAGGTGAATTTTTTCTTTACTTTTTCTTGTACCTCCTATGGGCAGTTGTATTTTTGTAAGTCTTTCCATGCTTCTATTCCTACGTGTATAGTATTTCTCTATGTTTTAAATAAAACCAATCTTATATGATAAGGTGTTCTATCTCTATCAAATAAGCACTTATTGCACCAAATATTCTACAAAATTAAAATACATAGTAGAAGCGATGGGATGTTATTGGATTAAGGTAAGTGGCTGATCAAACAAGGGTTGAAGCCGCACATAATCTAGGCAAGATGAATATTTTGTCTTTATTGTAATGCATTACAATAGACTAAAAAATATTTAGCTTGGTTATCAATGGAGTCTCTATTATTTAGATAATGTTGTCTTTAAGAAAAGGTTTCTCTATCATATCTATATTTTTTGATTTTACTTTCAAAATACTTATTTGAAGACCAAGATGCAAGAACAAGGGAGTTTCAAAAAAAATATTTGTAAATACAATATTATACATGTATTTACATCTTTATGTGTAAATATTAATAGATTTATGCTTCAAAAAAATATTCTATATAATTTTAGAGTAAATAGAGAGTTGTGCCATTTGGAAGGAGCTTTGTTGCCAAAAGAAGGTATCAACCCAACTTATGCATAATTTTATATCTATGACACAATATTTCTATAAGATAAAAAAAATAAGACGTAATTGTAAGATATTAGATCAAACTATATAGAAAATTAAAGAAGTTTTGAGAAAAAATAATATATTTATTAGATTATATAAATAAATGCATAAAATATTATTTCATGTGTGTAATATATGAGCATCAAAAATGGATATTGTAGTTTGTTTGCACTTCAAGAAAAAAATCAATGGATATTAATATAATCTTTTAACTACTTTTGAAGAGATTGCTATTATATTGCCTATAAATAAATTAGAGCCTAATGCAATTTGTGATATTATTACTTGCCTATGTAATATTCGACTATTCAAAAGAATTCATAAGGCTCATTTCACTAATTTGTCTCTTTATTATGTTTTCTTTTTTTCATATGAAACCCTTGGATGGCATCTTAGCCTAATAATATAAAATATACTAATAGATATTACTAAAAAAAGAAAAGGTGTTGTATAAGAAGATTGAAAAAGTAAGAAATTGACAGAGATGATTTTTTTTGCTTATCAAATTTTTTTAAGGCCTATTGGATATTTCACAATTTTGCACAAAAGAAATGTATTGCATGAGTTTATGGTTGACTAATAGGTGGTAAATGAGTAGTCATGTTTGCAATATCTACATTGTTATCAAAGAAATCTATGTGCCAATTTGTATCAAGAATTGATAGATAATATTGTAACTTATCATAGTATTAAGTTTAAAGAAGGAAGATATGAATAGAATAATCAAGGATGTATGAGCTTAATTTCATCATCACATATTGAAAGTATAAGATATATGATGAAAATACTTGAAGATTCTACAACAATTATAAGATTTTATCAGCATCTTGATATTTTTTTAATAATGACAACAAATTGAAGATGATTTGAAATCCAAAATAAACTGCTTTCAAGACAAAAAGTAAGTAGCTAGTTAGATTTGATTGCTCCTATATTTGAACTAAAGAGATGTATAATTTTTGAAGATATAAAGAAAGAATCTATCTTTGATTACATTATTGTCCATGTTTATATCATCAAGTTCTAGAAGAAAAGTTTATTTCATATGCACATTATGATTTTTTTGGATAGAAAAAGCAAGATTAGATGTATTATATATTTAGATTCTATGATTTTAATAAAATTTCTAAATAAAGATAAAGATTATAAGTTATTTTTAGTTATTCTACAATACATAATACATGGTCTATGTAAACAAGGGATCCTTAAACACCTCGCATAGAAGACAATTATTTTACAAAGAAGTATTTAAAGATATTTGTAGAAGAAACAACAATAGATGTAGATGGATATATCTAATAATGATGAAGAAATGATAGAAGAACATTTGAAGTTTGAGATATGGTTGTTGATAATAAAGATGTTTTATTTTGTACAAAATAGTCTTGCAAATACAACTACGATATAAATATTGAAGTATATGCATCCATTTGTACAATCAAGTATATCCACAAGTACATCTATAAAGGCCATGATTGCACTACAATGTAATTTAGAAACTAGCAAGATGAAATCAAACAATACTTAAATGTAAAATATAATGAAGCTCCAAAGACTGCTTGGAGACTTTTTGGCATGCAAATCCATGAAAAAATACCAATTCTTATTGAATTGACTATTCATCTTTCAAGAATGTATTAAGTGATATATGATCCAAATGATAAAAAATTGCAATTCTAAAACATGCCAAAAGATAAAAGATAACATTAAGTTTTTTTTCTTTAAAACATGTATAGCAATGAATATGAAAGGATTATAAATATATCAATAGTTTCTACAACATTGAAATAGGATTGGACTATCTTAAAAATCTAAGACCTTTCTAATCCACAACAATATAAATTCCATCACAAAGTAGGACAAAATGGACCAGAAAAAAACTAAACAAAAAGTTGCAAATTCAAACCTTATTAAGAAAAAAGGTCCAAAGCCATACCTGACCAAATGCCCAAATGACTCTAGTCAATTCTATCTATACTTTGTTCAACCATCTCAAAACATTCTAAAATATTTCTAATAGTAGATCTTACTTAGATAACCGCCCTAAGTTCTTTCTAAAATGTTCTATGGTGGGCTCTATTTAGATAACCGCCCTAAGCTCTTTCTAGAATGTTCTAAGGTGAATCCTACATAGCCCACTAATCTAGCCCCAATTCTATAAACTTTTATAAACTTCTCAATCATGGCTCCAACTATCTATCATTATGCATCAATAATACAAATATCTTATCTATACTATGTTACAAATATTTTATTTGGCATATTATTTTTTTAATTTAAATATTGATAAGAGTAATAATAATGTGTAGATGAATTCTCAAATGCAAATAATTTCATATCATGTGCCAATACAAATAGTTGTGCTTGCAATCTAATAAGAATTTTTAAATCTAAAATACTTTTATACCTCCAATATATACCAAAAAGAAAATGATGACATTTTATTTTAAAAAAAAAAACATGCATAATGAAGAGATCTAAAAATTTGCAACAAAGCAACAACAAACCACACAACAAACCAACATAGCAACTAACTTTTGTAGTAGAGGCAATAGATGCTATAATCTCTTAAGCAATTTTTTTAAAAAGAGAGCTTGATTTGTTCTTTATGCTTACAATCTAACAAGAAAGGAGGTTGAAAATAATATAACAAAATTACAAACAAACACAACTAAAAAAAATAACAATGACGAAATTCTAGCCCACTAGATCTTCTTTATTGCTGATCTATTAAGCATCAGATTCTAATAGCAAATTTCAAAAGAATAAATTTTCTTGATTTATTTTTCCACATAGCAAAAAACTACACATTACATGGTATGTCCAACATGAACCAAAGAATAAATTATTACATCTTATATAAATACAAACATGCTTGATGAAAAAAACAAAAGCGTTTAATAAAAGAATAATAAAACTTGCAAAAAACCAATATAACAACTGACCTTTGCACATGTAGCAAAATTGGTAATTTATTGAGCAAATCATTTGCATTGTACCTCCAATCAATTTTAAAGACCATGATTGTTGTTGACTTAATGCACATATGGACTTTGATTTTGCTCCATCAAAACCTCTTAATCTTTGATAATCACCTTCCACCTACATCTACTTATGTGTAGAGATTTAATTGTAAAGCATTACTCTAATAAGAGTTAAGTATTTCAATAACATTATAAATAAAAAAAGAATAAAATTTAGAACTTGAAACTTAGACCATTACAACCTACTTCCAATAAAGAATCAAGCAAAGTGAATCTAATGTATTTCACAACACTACAATCACATTGTTGATTGATTAATAATAAATTTGTATTAACACATGATAATTGCAAGAAAAAAAAACAAACAAACAAACAAACAAACAAACAAGAATCATTTCTATGATACTCGGATTGGAATGATGCTAAATTCTTTTCTTTGATTCTATGTGAAGTGCTCTTGTTAAGAAATTGGAAGGGACTGACATGTGCATACTCTTCTCTACCTACAAGAATGTATCATGTGTATTCTTAAGAGAGGACTAATTAGAATATAAAATACCAAATTATTAGTAAAAGAAATAAAATTAGATTGGTTGTTCTAATCATGTACCAAAAAAAATTTAAATAATATAAAAAAGTTTAATAAAATTTATTTATTTATTTATTTTTCTTTTGTAATTACATCAAATATCTTTATTTTGTATTTTTGATATCTTAGATTATATAAAAAGAAATATTTAATTATATTAGGATTAATATTTTAAAATTATGAAAAACTTAATATGCCAAATATTCATGTTAAAAGAGACAATAGATTTTTAAATGTTTATAAAATTGACTTTATACTTTTAAATTGTAATAAAAATACAATTTTTATTACATATGTAAAGACAATAAGTTTTTAATAACCTAATAATTTAATTGAAAAATATTATATATATATATATACATATATATATGCATATATATGCATATATATGCATAAAATGCATTGTCATTTTTTAATTCAATGTACATGCTTTAAAATATCAAGATTGGATTCAAAAATAGTACTTAACACATCCAGAGAGAGAGGGGGGGGGAAAATAAAATAAAATAAAATAAAAACCCAATGATTTATTCAAACATTTTTCATTCAAAAGAAGAATCGAAATTTTTCGAAATGCCAATATAGAGAATATACACAGACTATAGAGGATCCATCCAAAAGCGTACATTCAGTGCGCTTCCATTTTGTTAGATGAAACGCTATATTTTCATCCATTCGATGTAGACATAGATGAACGATTCAGAAAGACGTGGACAGGAAGATAAAGAAACCAGGCACAAAGCCCTAGTGAAGTTGAGAGGGAGGAAAGCCCAAGTGGCCCTGAAACCCTAAACTTAGCGCTCGTCTTCACCTCGAGCTTGTTTTCTTCGTGCCTGTGCTGCTTCCTCGCGGGTTTGCGACGTTCTTTGTTCCAGTTGCAAGGAGATCGTATTTGAGCTGCAACTATGGGCTCTGAGGCTGTGAATCCGAAGGCTTACCCGCTCGCGGACGCGCAGCTGACGATCACGATCACTGATATCGTGCAGCAGGCTGCGAATTACAAGCAGCTGAAGAAGGGAGCCAATGAGGCCACCAAGACGTTGAACCGTGGCATTGCGGAGTTTGTGGTGATGGCGGCGGACACGGAGCCTCTGGAGATTTTGTTGCACTTGCCTTTGCTGGCGGAGGACAAGAACGTGCCGTATGTGTTCGTGCCGTCGAAGCAGGCGCTGGGGAGGGCGTGCGGCGTGTCTCGGCCGGTGATCGCGTGCTCCGTGACGACGAACGAGGGGAGCCAGCTGAAGTCCCAGATTCAGCAGCTGAAGGACGCGATTGAGAAGTTGCTGATCTGAGGTGGAGGAGACAAGTGGAAGCGCCGGAGAGAGACCACAGCCGGATAGAGACTTGAGTCTATGATGCCTGGATTATGGTGGCCGTTTGCACTCGAGAGGCGAGGCTCCTCGTTCTCGTGCGTAGGTCCTCGGATGGTTTGATCGGGCGGTTCTTCTGCCTCTGTATAGTATACGCTACAGGAGCGGGTAGCTGCTTGGTGATGGGTACTTTGCGAGCTGAGGGAAGTTAGCTCTAGAGACTAGGTTGTGAACTTTCGATCTCATTTACTTATAGATGAGTAATGAATGGGATAGAATTTTCTTCGAAGCATGGAGGAATACTCATGTGCTGTTCATGTGGATGTTGTTTGTAAGAAACTTCTATAACTTTTTTAAAGCTGATCGCTGCGTATGCCTGCCCCCATTTCTCTTCTTGCACAATTGTGGCAACAATTGTTTTTCAATGTTTTTTTTGGGCAAACGCCGTCTTTTATGAGTTTCCGCCGGCGGTAACATCCTGCATCTAACTCTATCTTTGGGAGGCATTCTTGTTCTAATGCTGATTTTCATATTTGCAGTACCTCACAGTAGCTGTCCACGTTATTTTCAGCTGATGTGAAAGCAAGCAGCTGCAAGCTGTGTTAATCTGATCCTTACGCTCACTCTGATTTAGGAATGTGTGTATTATTTTGAGCACCTGAGTCTGGAATTGTGGCTGTGGTTTTAGAAAGGTCAGAATGCTAGTTGTCATCTTCATGCTCGCCGTGCTAATCCATGCAGGAAGTCACGGTATGAGAACAATTTTCTAGAAGGATATTATTTCGTTAAATGAATCCTTCCATAGCATGAGTCTCCAAGTAAGCAGACCTAGTCCAAGCAAAGTGCCTCTGTTTATGATACTGATTTCTGCTTGGTAGTTGACGTAGGTTCTGTCCGACCAGTTAAAGCTGCTGTTGGCAGGTTCCCGAATCCGAACTGAAACCCGTGCTGAAAACAAACAACAAGAAAAATGCCCAAGTATTGATTGGTCAAAATTGATGTCGCACGAATCCCACAAAAAATCAGGACCTACAACGAACAGATCAGAAGATTGCTCTCTACTTTGATAGAGCATTGCAGATATTCATGCTGCAGGGTACCTTGGACTCCTCGACTGCCCTTTTTCAGATGTGGAGGTCCACACTCCGAAACTTCAACCTTCTGCTTGCTTATGTTATGAAACCCCAGTATCCTAGGCATGAGAAAAATTGCGGGTGAAATACGCATATTGCCAACTGCGTACTTCTACATGAAGTTTCTCTATTCATGACATTGTTGCATGGAGAAGAGTCGAGTTGCGAATAGATGCACAGTATCTATCAAATTAGGAGCTGAAGGCAATTGTGTTTCACCACAATCTATCATGTATCAATGATAACTTCCTCATCGATATTTGTGCATCAGTGTGACAAATAAAAGGGCATGCGATCAACACAAGAGAGAACAAAGAATAGATATTAAACTAGAGTGGATTAACGGTGCATGCCTGAATAAGAAGTATCAAACGAAAAATTTAACGTTGGCAAATCCATGGAGTTTTTTTAACATGTGATGAAGTTAAATATCTTTCCAGTTCATTTATGGTACAATAAATGAAACAGAAGGGACACTAGGATTGTCTGTTGATGAAGAAAGTTTTCTTAATTCTTTGACAGGAAAAGGCCAACGTTACTATTGCCATTATATGTTTTCAATGCTTATTAAATATAAAAAAACTGTGCATAATGTACAACTTGCTGATTTGTGTAAACTAATTTTACCATCAATTTATATCATTGCATTTAAAAATTTAAAAATATGAGTATCTTGCAGAAAAACAAAATCCATGCACCCTTAAGATATTTTTCAAGGACTACTATATATATATTTATATTTATATTTAAAAATCATATCCCAACCATGCTCACTCCTATCTTCACAATGAATAATTAAATTAACCACTTTATGGCCTACAAAATAACATTAAATTAATTTATATAAATTTAGAATATCTGGTAAGGCTGAATTGAAAACCACTGAAGAATTATGAAGTAGAGATTATCACATCAAATAGTGATTGGATTGAGAGGTTTGAAATGAACTAAAATCCCTAAATGAACAAAATTAACCAGAAAGTAAAAATTGAACATATTGAAGATCACTAAATCCCAACCCAATTGATCCAACGACGTAACTGTCAAGGTGCAAGAAGTCATTTAATTTGAGATGCCATATATATATAAATATATTATTTCATTTGAATCTGATTTAAATAAAGCTTTTTAACTCCTACAAATGTTAAAAATAAAGAGTGGTAGCAGAGTAAGTAGAAATGAAAAGGAAACAAATTTGAGAAGATATACAAATACAGATTAAAAAATCTTATGATTATCGTAGGTTAAAAATCGGCAATTCATGTCCTTGTTCTAAAAATATAAAGAAAAAAATGTTGAGTGATGTTTATACCCGTTGGATCAATCTACCACTGGCGGAGATAGGAGCCCCAAGTGAGTCCCAAGTGAGCCCCAAGTGTGAATCCAACGTGGGCGACGGAGCGCCACGATTCCCAGCCCCGTGCAATGCCGCGGGAATAGGGTCCGAGCCTCGACACAAGTCCGGACCCACGGACTACTCCACCGCAGTTGATAACCGGGAAACATCTTTCTCGTCAAAGGGGGCCGAGTCAAAGTGTACACAGAGCCCGATGCAAGGTATCCTAGATATGACATCTTTACCCGTGTATACCCTTAGATACCCGGGGAGGAAGTGTCAGAGGCTACCGACCTCTGGACAGTGTGCTCTGCTGTGCTCTGTTAGCTCTGGTCCTGGAGGGTTCTCTTTGCCGCCTGTTGTTGCTGTGACTTTGTGCCCTCGATGCCTTTCATTTACGCTGTTTTGATGGCTTGTGGGATGGTTTTGCTTGATAGCGATTAGCAGAGACTGGGAGACCTTGTGGGAGCTTTCTCTGATTTTGTGTTATCTTTTCCTGAGTTGAAAGAGAGCGTCTAGAAGGGTTTGTTTTTCAGTTGTGTGTGTGTGTGTATGAGTGATGAGAGTTCGCATTCACGTGGAAAAGATGGCATTGCTTAGTGTGGTGATTATTTAGTAGATTAAAATTTCTGATTTTTATTTAAATCTTTATGGTTTTTAGTTTTTAGTTTATTTTTATTTTTATTTTTATTTTATTTTTTCTGTCTTTCTCGGCGGAGAGGTTTGGTGAGGTATGCGCTCAGCTGGTGTTCCATAGCGTGGAAGTGCGTGAGGGTGCGGGGACGGCAACATGATGGCGGACTTTGATCTCATGGAGCTTGCTCCGGAACAGGTGAAGTGCTATCCTGGTTTTTGTTCTTGAGTCCAATTTGTTTTAGGCTGTGACACACACACATAAACAAATACTGCTATATATATATATATATATATATATATAGAGAGAGAGAGAGAGAGAGAGAGAGAGAGAGAGAGAGTGTGCGAGTGCGAGAGAGAGCGAGAAATTTCAGTTCATTGCTTTGTGGAACTTAGGCTCAGTGAACTCGAGGTACCAGTTGTAGCCTCGCTGGAATTACTCCTGGCAAGTGATAGTTTTGTTGTGCCCCCATCCCCCCTCTGTGGCTATGACATTGTTGTATAAGAGAACTTTTTCAGCGTTATTTGACATTGGAGTACTGCAGTCTGAATAATCGGAAGTCAGGTGCTATTGGTTTTGAGCTGTAAATGGCCTCAATCATATTCTACATGATTTTTCTAGCTGTTCACTCTCTGTCAAGAGGAAGTTAAGCAACTCCTTTTGGACTTTCTGCATGTAGGGCAGTTCAAGTTTTGAGATCGCTAATGTCAGGAGTCACAATAGTACTACTGGTGATATTTTGAATCGATTGTCGAGTATCTTAGCGTACGATACCTTTCCCCCTTAGCTTGGACATTATTTTGGAGCGTCAGGAGGTAAGTATTTTTCTTTATGTTCTGCCTTTCTATGTACATGGGTGTATTGCGTTATCATCTGCACTCGTGTGAAATGTCTCCCTTTTTGATTGACAGGAAGAACTTGCTTATTTACATCAGCAATTATTTTCGACTGCCACAGAGGTTGTTACGGGTGGAGCAGATGAGCCAGCCATGATAGCTCAACAGTCTACAGTTGCTACCGCCACCACAGAGCATGACGGTACGTATTTTGTAATTGTCTTTTTGGAACCATTATTGTAATATTCTCCTTATCAGGCACACTAGGCCTTTCGACCCAGCATTTGTTGCGGCCCTTAATCAGTATGACTATACCCGTTGCTCTGTACTATAATGTTGAGTGTATGTCGTGCTCTCGGAGAAGTTGCTGCTTGTCGTTTGTTTCATTAAGCTGTACCTTGTTGAGATTTTGAAATACGAAGACAGTTAGCTTGCAAAATTTTAATAGGGGATTGCATAAATGATTGAAATATTTCTGCGTTGTAACCTAATCAGGCCTGTGGAGTTAACAAGCTGCAATTGTGAATTTTGCAGGGAAGTATGCGAACGGAAATACTGTACCTGAAAAGGAGGTAGGTTGTAGTTGTCATGATATCTTAGTAATTGATTTTTCAAATGATATTACCTGTAGGTTTGATAGTTGTAGAGAAACCTATCTCAAATCCCTTCGTAAATTGTTTCTCATCTCAGTATCTGGCAACATGTGCAGGATGACAAGCCAGCGACGCTGCACGGGGAGGGGGAAGCTTTAGTTGGGCGGTCAATTATCAAAAAGTTTAAAAGGACTAAGTATTCTGGAAAGGTTGCGGGATACGATCAAGATTGCAAATGGTACAAGGTATCTGAGTTAAACAAACTGAAGGTTCAACTTAAGTAATTCAAACCGACATATTTACATGGTTCCGGCAAATTTGTTCTAGGATATTCATTTTGTGGTACGTCATGCAGGTGGTATACGACGACGGTGACGAGGAGGAGCTCGAGTATAAAGAGCTTGGACCACTTCTAGTCGAAGCTGGTGAAGCAGAGGCAGTGAAAGTCGCAAATGCCAGCAAGAGAGCTACTCCCGAAACCGATAGTGACTCTAAGAGGTGGGACGATTGTCTTTCTTAATGTGGTTTCTCTGCGATTGACCCCTCTTCTTAATTGTGATTATGTGCTTATTCTCAACCCCACTGGGTAGGTCAGAATATTGTTACTCAACTTCTTATTTTTGGTTCAGTTCCGCCAAGAACGCTAAAGGAAGAAAGTCTGCCGCTGGAAAGAAACCGGCTAAGGACAAATTAGAGAAGAAAACCAAAACACCAAAATCCCCGAAGTTGCCCAAGAAGGCGACATCCAAAAAGTCGGAAGATGACAAGCAGGAAGCTTCTGAATCCCATTCATCGGAGGAGAAGAATGCTACGGAGCAAACTACTCTGAAGAGGGGTAGGGGAAGACCAAAGAAAGATGCATCATCGAAGACTCCTGCATCTAAGACTAAAGGTGATGGAAAGGGAAGTGGTGATAGCTCATTAGAAAGTAAACCGTCAACACGCAAGGTCGCTTCGGAAAAGGATCGAAGTGAATCAGAATCGGGCCGATCTCCAAGGGGAAGGGGAGCTGTATCACCTGCTGGAGGATCTGTTTCGCAAAAGGAGGGTACCCAACTCATTGGAGCTAAGACAAGAAAGAAGTTTGATGGTGTGTTTTATGATGGAGAAGTAATTGGGTATGATCCAAAAGTGAAATTTTACAAGGTATACCAAATCTTTTTTTTCTGAGCTCTGACGTCACTGAAGGCCAACGAGGGTTTGGCAGATGGACTTTGTGTGGTTATTAGTTCTGTGCCATGTCCTTCTGCACGCTCATATGCAGTATGGTTTGTGTTCTAAAGTACATGTAACACATAATGTTCTTGATCTGCGCTGGGTCATAGCATTTTATACGAGACTCTTTTTGATTCAAAATTTCATTGTCGTCTTTGATATCTCAAGACCAAAGCTTCGTATGAAAGGCTCACATTAGTGAATGCTGTTGAGTGTTCAGATTCGCTACAGTGATGGGGACAATGAAGAACTTACATTGAAGGAGCTGAAAAAGACGCTGATGGAAGAAGACCTAACAGTTCGTAAGATAAGAGGTCGATCTAAAAATGCTGCATCTCCAGGAAAAGCTGCTGAAGAGTCTCCACAGAAGAAGCAAAAACTTCTTCCATCGAAGAAGGAAGCTGCAAAAGCTCCAAGTCCTGCCCGGTACAATACAACTCCTGCTCTGGCTCTGTTCTTACATTGTGGTCCTCTTCCCTTCTGCCTATTTGTGACCAACGTACAGTCTCACTTTCAGACTGCAGATATGGCCAAGAAATACTGTGTTTTAATACAGGAGGTTTATAGAGCTAGTGTGTAACATCTGGAGTGAGCTGTGTGTTACACCTGTCTAGCCATTGACTTTGGTGGTTGAAAACGCAGAGATGGAATCCAGCCAAGGAAACGTGGACGCCCAGCTAAAGCGAAAAGGTAAGTAAGCGATGACTGAATTTGGAGGAGCCAACAACTTGAAGACTATTTTTCTGCAAAGAGGTAGATGTTGCTGTGTCCAGAAGAAGGCAACCGTGCCTGAGGTCTTAGATGTTGGGCTTTGAGTGAACCACGCATGTAGCATTAGGCGCCTCATGTGGGGCCTAGGTTTCCCAAGTGATAGTGGATGTGTTCATAAGAGCTTTTCATCTCTGGGGCGCCACATGACTGGGCACACGCCTCATCCACTTGTGGCTCTGGGTGCTCAGCTTTTACGATGCGGACAAGGAGGCATACAAGAGTCCAGGGACGGACCAGTGGCTGCTAACTCTTCTAGCTAGGTTACAGAAATGGGTTGGATAGACTTTGTACATGATGGACAGACTTCATGAGGGAGTTGGCACATTTTGGGGCCTGTCTCTTGTTAAAATTGCCATGTGGCCAACGGAATCTGACTCTTTTGAATAAACTTATTGTGAATTGGTATTTACTGGCGTTGTTTTCGTTTTACTTGTGCAACAGAATTATTGTGTTTATAACTGTAGTACTTGATAACAGCATCTAGCTTAGTCGATTAGGAACCCAGAGTCACAGCGGTGAGGTCACACTTCTCAACCTTCTAAAAGTTACCCATGCTGAATACTCTTATGGACACATCCTCTCTGAACTCTTATGTTTTAGTTTCCTAAACTTATTTTGCAAGCAAGGTGTCGTCATCAATTAGTTTTGTAGCTTCGTTGTCCGTGTGATGAAGAGTAGACTTGATCCCTTTGTCAGCACAAATCAACGACTCTGTCCTATTGGCAGTGCTGCAGAAGCTACCGATGAAGACGAAGCAAGCAATGAAAATACTGAAGGGATTGCTGAAGACAACAGCGGTTTATCAGGAGATACCACAAGCACATCGATAGAACCTACGCCATATTCCACACTCCTTGCTGCTGTCCGATATGCATCTGCTTACAACGCAGACAACCTTGAGTACTACGGATGGGGAGAAGTGGTTGGCTCCTTTAGGACGAGATGCTTAGATCTCGCAGCCATTAAACTGAAGCCGACCGCTTCACCAATTGTCCATTTGGCTGTAAGTTCGCCTCATTCACAGGGCTGTGTTTCAGGACATAGGATCGCTCCTTTTTTCTTTCTCTTTTTTTACAATTTAAAGCCTGAACATGCATTCGGGATGTTGTTAGAAAAAGCATTTGGTATTTTTATCTAAGACCACATGGATAGATATGCTGTCTGCACCGTGCTTTTTATCTGGAATTAAATTGAACCGAGGTGACCATGGATTTTTAGATGATTCCGCGTTCTCAATATTATGTTTCATTCAATTTAAAATGCGTTCATATGTCAGTGGATTGATTGCGTTGATTTTTATACAGGTAAGTCAACATCATCTGGCCGCTTTAACAGCCTCTGGACAAGTCCTGGTGTGGCGCAATCAGCATGGTAATATTCGCAGCCGATGCGACGGATGGGAATATATCAGTGACTTGGAGAGTAAGGGTGTCGTGCTTATTGATATTTCTGGGCCGGATGTGGACAGAAGGGTAGCTGGCTATGCACCAGAACAAGAAGACCAGGTGGGGCTCTCGAATTTCGAAAATTGTCTTGCTTTCAGTGTGAAGAAGTAAAAAAGTTATAAGTAATTGATTTGCTCTGTGCAGGTTCCAGATCCCTTCTACTTGGTTGCAGTAACTTGTAATGGAGAGGATTATCTTCTTCAGGGATCTCATCCTCAAGAACCAGTAAGTGGTAGCTGGTTTGTTTCATTTCATTTACCATGTTGACAGATTTTCTCAAAAGGACTCTATGATGTTTGTGAGGATACTGATGTTGGTTGATTCGTCTTTGTGACAGGTTCACACTCGAAGACTTGGTGAGAATCCCAAAATTAAAGGTCTTGGATCTACGATTTCGCAACTAAAGCTGGGCAGTTTGAAATCTCCGTTGCTTGTTTTGCAAGCAAGTATGGGTACAGTGGGCGCACTTGATGAGACACCCTTTGTAGGGTAAATGCCTCATGAACTTGGGACTCTCTAACTTGAATTGAACTTGCAGGGTGTATATGTACATGTTGCAATTAAATTCTTCTCAATGGATCTGACAGATATATAACTGATGCGTATCAAGTATACATACGCGCTGCTACAAAAGATTATATGGACGAAGTCAACCTTGTGTCTGGGTACACTGGGAAGCCATTTAAGATTCAGGTGAGTAATTTTTGGTCTTCGGATGATTGATGATAAGTAGATATCCTAAAAAACTTACTGAAGTTTATCGTGTGCAAACCAAAGTGGGCTTCAGGAATAAAAGGTTTATGATCTTTTCTTCAAAATGAGCTAGATCTCCCTTAACTGGCTTGATCCTACTTAAGAGTCTCCTATTTGCACTGATCTTCTCTACACTGCATGTAGTGTGGTGGAATTTACCACGCCATCCTCTTGACCGATGATGGGCGAGCTTGGACATGGGGTGACGGTTACCATCCTTCCTCGACCTCAAATGCCTCGACCTCCAAAAATGGGGACCAGTCACCTTATAGTCTTTGTCATCTGGCCCTTGGAACTCTCGTCGGTCAGAAGGTACTTAACCACACACCGCTGGAACTAGGTTTCTGATCATTAAAATATTTTCTTTAACATAATTTTAAAATGCACCAAATTGCACAATGTCAACTCCAAACAATGCGAACCTGTTTGCCATCAATTTCAGGTCGTGGACGTCGGCTGTTGCGGGGAGGACTTCGTCGCGCTCACCAGTGATGGTGCAGTTCATCACTGGACTCATGGCGTTGCTAACCCTGCAGCTGACATTTATAACACTCCATCCACCCCAGCAGCTGGCCAAGGGCCCTCTATTCATGAAGGAGACAAACTGAAGAGTGTATCTGCTGGGGTTGGAATGTGCGCTGGAGTGACACAGCTTGGCAGAGTCCACACATGGCGCGCTCTCTGGAGAGGTGTACCTTTGGGGTTGAAAGCGCCTGGTACTCCTTTGGGTCATGATTCAGGAATGAGTAGTGTTATACCGTCTCTAGGTGAGAATCAATCAATTTTCACAAGTTAGGGCTTGATTTATCGAAGAGTTTGCAGTATGTACCGAGTTTTAGGACGTACCCAGCCTGTCCTAGAAAAACGTTCCTAATGGAAGAATTTGATGCTCCTTGGTTTGTTGATTTAAGAGGACTTTGGATGCAGGAACCAAGTTCGCAATCCAGGTGATGTGTGTGGCGGGTTCCCTGATAGTAGTTGCAGAAAAGAAGCCTAAAGCAAAACCAGGGTCAAAGAAATAAGTTCCTGTGAACAAATCTCATTCCGTGTTGATGTTAAGGTGAGTGATATCTTAGAACAGTGCTCAATGTAGTCTATTGAAGGCACCTCGAATCTCGTCTGATTTATCCTAGATATTATACCCGAAGCAGAATTTGATGCAGTGGACAAGGTAAGCTACAGTATAATTGTCCTGACTACCAGCGATTTATCCTCCTGATATGATTCATTGTAACAAGTATTTCGGTTCTAAACTTCTGCAAGCAGCTAAATTGCAACTGACTTGAAGCAAGCTTTGACTTAAAGGCCTGTCTGGTCCCCCCAAAGGTGGATCAGGGAAGCACTTCTCAAGCAGCACTAATTAGCAGCAAATATCTCATAAGGCACCTGTGTGTAGATCTATCGGCAAGTAATAGGCTGAGCTCTGCAGGTTTACTGTCGTATTTACAGCTATCGACTTCTGCACAACTTCTTTGACAACACCTGTCTCTAGTGTTTATTAACACTAGCTATGGTCTGTGATGCTATATGTATATATTTGCCTCTCCTACGTGCACGCCGCATTTAGTGTGTGAACACTTGGTCCTGTCAAGACGTCACCTTAATTACCTGAGGATCGTTTTGTTGTTATCAAACAGGCAGTTTGCAACAGTTTGAGAACCACTTTGGTTTTGAAGGGACTGTATACTGCATTACCTGCTGTAATAGACATAAAAGGAACTCGTTTATATGGCCATTTTGTGGATTAAATGTGGTAGATACTGAGAGACTTTGGTGAACGAAATCGTATCTATAAATCACTTCACTTGTGTGTGCTTCACCATTTGTATGTCCACCCTTCCAATGCACATCATGCTGCATGCAACCCTCTCGACCACAGAAGAAATCTTGTTCACTTTTTTAAGGAAAAAAATGCACCATATCTACTGAGAGTTGATCATTAGGGTGAAACTGTATCAAGGGATTCCGGGACTAGGAGTCCTGGAGAGAAACCCTAAAGCAGCCTTGAGAGTTGTGCTATTGAATTAAAATCTCTTACCCTGATTGCTCTTGTAAGAGTTCAATTATCAGAAGAGACAGCTTAGTGCTTTCAAACGTTGGTACAGAAACATGGTAACAAAATATCACTTGATACTTAAATGTTCTCAATAATGACTATATTATGAGTAAAATCTGAAGGATCTTGGATGACATTGACAACTTCCATTTTACACTGAATCTTATGGGTTTTTTTTTAAAAGAATTAGTTTTATTCTTTTTATAAAAGAAACTATAACATTTAAAATTTTAAATAATATATATATATAATTGACTTTGAAATATTTAACTCTATGTTCTTAGTTTTAAATTGTACGTTTTATATTTGCATTTATTCAATAACTTAAATTAAATGTATCACTAATCATTCGATCAGTTGCTAAAATATACATTTTTTTTTTCCTTTTATATGTATATTTTTTTAAATGTTCAAATTTTCATATTTTTTATACATATACTTTGAAACATTGATTTTTTTTAAAAATCTACTCTTGTATAATAGTAGCATTTACAATAGTGACGTGTTCATTTTTAGCAAGCAGTAGACAAAGTTTTAACAATAAGTTTTGCATCCTTGTTTATGAATTAAATGCTTGATAATTAATCATCTTATTTAGTACTAAAAGACCATCTTAAAATGAGATGGTGACATTTTGGGGATTTCACATAGTTGATCAAATTTACTATAAAAATTTCATATATTCACTTCATAATATCTACCCCAACTCATTTCATGAACAATTTAGTAATACAAGCATTAGTGTAGAAAATATTGATACTCAAAGCCATGGAATGTATCATGACATTTACTTTGTAAATTATATTCCCCATTTTGCTTTTTTCTGCACATTGATTTTATGCTTAACACCTTTTTAATTTCCGCAAAAATTAAAAAGCAAAACCAAGAACCAACACAATAACACTACTTTGCTTTGGTACCATGTTTACATCACATAAAAGAACAAAAAATTAAAATTATAAAATTATAAATTATATATATATTAAAAAAAACATTATGATGCACTTATATCATACCAAAACGACATAATACCAATCATAGGTTCAAATACTCCCAACATGAACTGATTTATACACAATCGAAACCCTAAAAGCAAATGGATAAAATTGGTAACACTCAAATCACTAATACATCGCCAATCACAAACTCACCGACCAGACAGAAGCAACTCAGATTAGACTGTGCTTTGCCATACATTTAGAAAGTTGCGTTTTTGCATAAAATCTGTGAGCTTCTGGCATGACCCCATCAATAAAGCTCAACCTCTCGTCTAGATCCAGGAGTTTAGGGTTTGGGGTTTAGGATTTACGCTACGTTTTGGGATTCATGGATGTGGTGTTCCTTGGATTGTTCTTGCCGTTCTTCGTGTTGTCGTTTTGTCCTTGACGTAGTTCTCCTTTGATGCGATTACTGCCACATTTTCGTTGGGTTTGCTGCATCAATTCTTTTTTTTTAAAAGAAAAAAAGAAAAAAAGAAAAAGTCGTTTGCCTCGTGTTATACGCCTTCCTCGGTGCCATGGACGCCCATGGAGATCCCCTCAGAAATGAAATGAAGCAGTCTGCAATCTTCGGTGCAAAATCTTCCAGCACGATGGCACTTCGTCTTGTTGAATTCGCGACGTGTTGCAGTAAGGTCTGAACTTCATGGAAATATGAAAGGGAACTCTCAGCTTCGTGATAATCCTGATCGACGACTCCTCTAATGATTCAAAGTTCTCTTATAATCGACTGAAATACACCCCACAAGAATAAAGAGTTACATTGTCGAACTTTATAGATTCAATAGCAAGTGTGTACAAGACAAACGTACATACAAGCCAAAGTATGCATTTCACAGGGATAATTATAAAAAATATGCTGGCTGCTTTACTTCAGGTTGATAACTCGCTGGAGCAAGTGAAGTGCTCCCGCAAGCACAAGAGGTATCTGCAAACAGGCATATGTTCGGTTTCTGAGTAGCTTGCAGCCTCATGATCGCGACACAAGTACACTAAAGTTCCATTCACGCAGATGAATAACCATAACCTAACGACAGTCACCAATGGCTAAACCTTTGATGCGGCCGCCTTGCGGACTTCACAAACAATATCTGAACATAGCGCAGCTAATCTTACTACAGAAAGATATGAAGCTGAAGGTTCCTTTAAAAGATCACCACCACTACCGTGCCAGGAATGGGTCAGCCCAAGTTGTGGTGGTTGGTAATTTTAGCCTAGACCCCAGTCTTGCTAATAAATCACTGAGGTTCAACGTTGGGTTATATTGGCGACCATGATAAAGTGTTACCACCTACAGACTCACTATTCAAGTTAACCTCCACGTTTGGACCGTTCCCAACAAAGTGGTGCAGTCTAATTTGCAACAATGCATGGTGAAACTCCACTCCTGCAAACAAATGCAGTTCACAAATATCTACTAGCAGGACTGATTCCCTGTCGTATTTGTAGTATGCGGCAACCTTCAGGGTCAGGACGTAAAAGCAAGCCTGTTCGAAACATTGATGTGACGCTTGGATGTAAGGACCAACAGTAGCACGAAGCAAAGGGCCAGGGTCAAGAATGATGCCATTCAAAAAATATTTAGCATCAAGGCGCAACCCAAAGCGTACATCCAGCATACAATTTCAACCCAACACGCAATATGTCCCAAAAGGGAAACAGGGAGCGCAACTGCAAAGATCATGTAAATTGAAACACAAATATACAGTTATTCGGGTCAGGAAGTCATACCACAACTTACAAATGTTTCTTACAGACAACATCCAGACGGCCATCGCATAGACAATCCACGCTATCACAATCTTCCTGTGTGCATCATTTCTTCGTCTACAAAAGCACTCATAACCAACTAGTTCTTTCCTACTCCTCCAACTAACTAGAGCTTTGACTCCACCTCTAAGACCTACCACCTCACAGACACCACGTTTATGGCAGTAGAGCCACCCCATCGAAACAACCGAAGATATCCACACGAAAAATAGCGAACTCCGTCTTCCCGCGAAAACGGCCACTACAGTCCAGGCATCATAGACTCAAGTCTCTATCCGGCTGTGGTCTCTCTCCGGTGCTTCCACTCGTCTCCTCCACCTCAGATCAGCAACTTCTCAATCGCGTCCTTCAGCTGCTGAATCTGCGACTTCAGCTGGCTCCCCTCGTTCGTCGTCACGGAGCACGCGATCACCGGCCGAGACACGCCGCACGCCCTCCCCAGCGCCTGCTTAGACGGCACGAACACATACGGCACGTTCTTGTCCTCCGCCAGCAAAGGCAAGTGCAACAAAATCTCCAGAGGCTCCGTGTCCGCCGCCATCACCACAAACTCCGCAATGCCACGGTTCAACGTCTTGGTGGCCTCATTAGCTCCCTTCTTCAGCTGCTTGTAATTCGCAGCCTGCTGCACGATATCAGTGATCGTGATCGTCAGCTGCGCGTCCGCGAGCGGGTAAGCTTTCGGATTCACAGCCTCAGAGCCCATTGCTTCAGCTGAAGATCACTCCGGTCAGCGCTACAACAACAGAGAAGTGAGTAACGCAAAGATCAAGAGAAGGACTCGTAACACGCGCAAGAATGAAGTTGTAAAGCATCACAACAGGAGGGAGGGCATCAACGCAGGGGGTGTAGGGTTTAGGGTTTGAGCGGTCGGTGGTTTGCGGGCGGACGGAGAAGTCCGTCCGTCCGTCCATCCGCGAGGGTTTCGAACGTCGGAACTTTTCCCTCCAGCCGCCCTTTCTATTGTAGATGTTTCATTCGTTAATATAGGCGATGAAATAACATTTTATCATTCGTTCGATTCTCACGGATGAAATGCTGGTGCCCATTATTGGTGCGATTTTCTGATGCTCAGGAGATATTTTTAGCTTACATTTAAAACCTGTTTTACGGGAATTGAGTTGCGTTATGCGAGAAACAATTTCATCGTTCCATGGATAAGTTGAAGCTGCAGTGGAATTGTATGTATTTTTGAGATGAAGATTATTATTATTGTAATTTAATTTCTAGAAAAGATGGTCAAATGAAAAATTTATGAAAGGGAAAGAAAATATGAATGCAACTTTTGTTGGATATTCTTTCATAAAAAACCAAATTCCTTGTGTGATTGTTGTCATTGTACATATAAAATTTATAACTGAGCAGTTTTTACAAATATTTTTTAATATAGCAATATTAATCTTTAAAAATATTATAAATTAAAACCATATATATATATATATATATATATACATACACTCACAATTACACCCATGTATTATTTTAAAGCATATTATTAAGAAACTCTTGTAATACTATATATATATATATATATATATATATATATATATTAATCTTCTGCTGTTTCTTTTCGAAATTCAGTAGATAATTTGTTGGATTTTTGCCGCATTGCATACTTTCAAATTGTCTCCGAAAAGCTTCTGTGATTCCTAATTATTATGAATAAAGAGGTAACACAAAGAATACTTATAGAACCATCAATTACAACCCACTAAAAACAATATATATATATATATATATATATATATATTTAGTATTTTCCATAACTTCAAGTAATACAGATAGGAACTTTAAGCTCTTTTCTTATCTTCTTCTTCTTCTGTTTTTTTTTTTTTTTTTTTTTTTTTTTTTGTTTGTTTTGTGTTGTAAGCATAACAAAGGTACTAAATGCATTTCAAGTTTTTTAATGTCCAATACAACAGTTTGGATCAATTTAAAAATTTAATTTGACTTAAAAATGCAACTGTGAAAAAACACAAACAAAAGATTAAATGATATACAACTCTCTATTTAATAAAAACATATAATGATTAAAATTAGCTGAGATAAAACTATTGATATTTTAATTCGTACTTTAATTTATGATAAAATAAAATTTATCTTGCAAAACTATTTTTTAAAATTCAATATATCAAAAAAATGATTTATATTATAATTTTCAAATTTTTGTATTATTTTTAGGATTAAGCATTTTAAACTTTAATAGGCAAACTTTAGAAAAAGATTTAAATGCTTCACTAGATTTATTATGTAAAATTATGATTTCTAAAAGGAATTTTAAGTTGAGTTTATATTAAAAGTATCAATTTCTATCTATCTTTAAATTGAACACTTTATATATATATATTTTTCTCTAGTATAATGTTGAAATAATTCCTTAATAAATATTATTCTAAGCAACATAATTCAATATTTATAAGAATTATTTGCATTAAAATAATAAATAATAAATAATAAATAAAATTTATTAAACAATTAATAGCCATAAAAAATATTTCAAAAGAAATGTAACATTTGGAAATAGTTGAAATTTAATAAGGGTTACATGTTGACTTCAATATCTTTCAATCTCCTTCAAATTGTATGATTCTTAAGTTGTATGATTTGACTTATTTAATACAAGAAATGTTGAGCTAATAAAAATAAAAATAAAAATCCTTTAAAAAAATTATTGGCTAAAGAAACTAGTCAACAAAAAATTAAAAAAATTATTGTAAATTTTGTAAGTTAGTAATTTTATATAAAGTTAAGAACATAGTTAATATTTACAATTAATGCTACACTTTTATGTATTTTTATCTATAAGACCGACACAAATTATACAGTTTAATACAAATGAAGTTAAAGATGTATTTAGAGAAACATAAGGATATATTAATAAAATGCTGATTGTGTAATTGCATAATCAAACTACAAAAAAATACTTTCTGTGCAGACCGATCTAAAATATATTATTAGAAAATGACAACATTAGAAGAATATATTTATAAAAACATCAAAGATAATCTAACCTTACATTCATTTTCATCATTAATAGTAATTTTATATTGGGAATTGCTAAGTGGACATCTTTCTTTCTTTCTTTCTTTTCTTTTATTTTATTTTATTTTTGTTTGTATGGACACCCTCTTTTTTAATGCATGGACATCTCCTTGTGTCACACCAACAATATGTCACTACTACAAGTTTTTAACAATTTGGACACTAATTGAGGTATAAAAATAACAAAAACCCACAATAACAACCCCCAATACATTAACATCAGCAATACAAAGCTAATTTAAACCAATAAATAAATGAGGATGTCTACATAGTAGTTTTGCTAATTGGACACCTTTTACTATTTATTTTGTTTGGTTTGATTGAATTTTGTGTTTTAATGTTCTTGTGTTGTGGATTGTTGTTGTTTTTATATCTTTAAGCCTTATCAGTGTATAATTTATTGGAAAATTTGGTGGTGTGACATGAGGTGGCTATGCAATAATAGAAGGATGTCCACATAGTAAAAGGGGATGTCTATCTAGCAATTACGTTTATTTTTTAGCAGAAAAGATAAAGTATTATAGAAGGATGTTCATTATTATAAATCAAACAAAAAATAATTGATAGAAAAATATAATCATTATCCTTGATTTTATAAAATATTAGAGTAATTTTAAATAAACTAGAAGTATTCACTAAGATTCATTTAAATGAATATTTACAAAATTATTATTATTATTTGAAAATGACAATGAATTTAAAAATATAATGTAATATTTTTAGATTTGTAAACTTAAAAAGTGTTTCTTGATAAATATTTTTTGGATTTAAAAATGTATACATTAAAAAATAATTCTTAAAAACACCTAGACAATGTTGTGGTCATTTATATTCGGATAAAATTCTAATGATTTATGAGAAGAAAAAGATTATTAACATAACATACATTTGCAATAAATAAATAAAAATAACATTTGGTTGAATTTTTAGGATTATGCAATACTGAACAAACAAATTATTATAAATCCTACATTTTTTATCTTTTATCTTTTAAAGGTATTATATGACGTACTATTATCTCATATTGTTTAAGTACAATCTGTACCCTTTATTCAATCATGATGAATGTTACATATTCACAAGTTCATGGAAAACTTTTCCTAGACCCGATCATTCATGTCGGTGAGCGAGGCACAAAATAATTAGGGTTTCATTTGGATTGATCGGATTCCGATGCCCCGAGTTGGACTTGATGAGTTGCACTTGAATTAGGGTTTCGATCCTGCACGCAAGGTCGACCCCTTTCTCGGATCGCCCGAAAATCCGCCATGGAGTCGATCACGAAGATTTTCGTTCGAATTGTATGGAACGGAAGCTTTTCGACGTGCGGGAAGTAGCATTCGATCGCGTGATTAGGGTTTGGTGTGAACAGGATAATCATATGTTTGAATGCATCGTGGTGTTTGCATTGTGAGTCTTGTGATTTCATGATTGAGATCGGTGCAAAGTTAATCATGGACGTAGAATATACATGCTCCAAGAAGCACCGTAGTTTTTTTTTTTTTTTTTTTTTCTAATTTAAATTTAAATTTATTTTAAATATATGTATGTGTGTGTATCTATATCTATATATATATATATACAAATATTTGTGTGTCAGTAACTGAGTGTCAATTGTATGCCAGATTTATGACTGTAAGACGTGTGTTTGTGATTCACTCAGGTACATGAGATTATAGAATCAAGCGGTACATGGCCAGCATGCAATCGTAGAGATGGCTACGAGGTTGTTTTCTCACACTCATGTGCTCCATTTCTCGTGTTTTCTATGACTTCTAACTGGGTTGATTGCAATTGTTGTAAGTTAAGTCGACGAGGTTTTTATGTACGCAGCAGTTTGCTGCACCTCGCTTAGTGTTGATGAAGGTGGAGTGCTAGATGGAATGAACTGCTTGGAGTTAAATTGTCTAGGATATTTCAACTTAAGATGCATGAGAAGAATCGGTTATCTCTGATTTTGGGACTGACATAGGGTGGTCAGTGAGAAGTTGCCCCTAGCCGATTGCCATCGAACGGAAAGGTTTTGGGGATGAATATAATGATCGATGCTTGGTTTCGGTACACTGGACCTGCTGTAAGTCCTAAATTCCTCTTCATCAATCTCAAGTTCATGCATTCATTTAAATTCATTATTATCCTTTTCGGTACCTACTCATAACGTCATACGAACTTTGTACACAGGTTATAGTGGTCAATAAAGTGGTGGATAAATTGTAACGGAAAGAATCAGAGAGGTTGCAGGCGTCCGATAGTCTTTCAATGCGTGGGGTGGTATGTTTACTATCCATTGGCAAAGGCGATCAAGTGATCAATGTGTGCATGCTTGAAAGGTCATCAAAACTAACAATATTTTTAGGGACAGATCTGTTTATCATCTTTATAGTTTCAGCAATTAACAGTGTTAGCAAGCATTGTTGTGATGTATAACAACCAATCGTGTATTGATCCCGTTGAAATCGTATCAGAGAATTATGCTTCTGGTGCAGGAAGAGTGAATGTTTTTGTGTGAATCTTTTAATTACTTGCAACTCTGCTGATTGTTGCTTTGAAGTTAGTGCTATTCATCGATTACCTAAAATAATGTTATGTGTTTCGACCTAACTCATACAAGAACTAAATTTAGTGGTCTGGAGGGTGTTTCATAGATCTTGGATGCAGAGCATGTTGCACAAATTCCTCACCATTTGATGCTTGATTGAGGGTGGCTCCATTCACGTCGGTAGGGAAGGTGATTGAACGTGCCATATCAAGTGAACGACTAGAAGTATTTCCAGCTTGTGCGATGTTTTCATTACAAATATGAGTGAGCAAACATTCTGAGTGGCCCATGTTTGAAACCACACTCTGTCCGATATTTCTCGCTCTCAAGTTGTGTGTTCTGCAGGGACATGCTTAACAACTGAAGAGTACCTGAGCAACTCAATTCCAAATCCAAATCTAAACGGAAATGCCATAGAGTAACAGTCCAAGCTTTGCCAAGTAGGTGTTTTGGCTGCCCCATGATGTCGATGGTATTTCCATCTCCTCCCTACATTAGATTACGGGCGAATACGCGATTTCATAATAACTGGCCGGATTACTGAATACAATGTTGCGAACTCGTCTCATATAGGATTATTGTCTGCCAGGAAAATTAAAGTGGAATTGAAGCAAGCTTCATTAAATTGTCGGTAGCAATTATAAGTGTCAGCACTTCTTCTAGATTAGCTTCGGTGTGGTTGGTTTGATGGGTGATTTAGTTCTAGTTCGTGGTGACAATGAGCAAGTGATGAATAAGCATTTCATGTTTCATGTTCTGCACAAAATACTACGTACAAAGTGCTGACTGCATTATGGCTTATAGAAGATAAGTGAATGAGACAATTCTAGTTACTTCAAGTTACCGGTCAATACTCGATCACATGTTTTTGGGTCACTCTTGTGGGCTTCCTGTGTTCAGCTTTGCTGTAAGTTGTGATAATCCAATCTGCTCAGGAGATGCTGTTCAGTGGTAGAAATATCCACTGCATCACACAGAAGCAGCCTGCTGCTTTTTGTGTGTTTCATCCAGATAATGCTGTGAATGCTGTAAATGAGAGGATCTCAAGGGTTCCACGGCTGCTGAGGGTGCTTCTTCTAGAGACCTTAACCCAGAGGATAGTGGAGCCAATACCTCTCTGTGAAGACTGTTAATTGTTTCATTGTTAACTGTGTCGACACTGATGAGCTGTCTAAGAGGTCTCAATAAGAAGTCCTGAAGTATGTCATGCAATAGAAACAGTTCATTGCCACAAAAAAGTAACCACTTATAAGAGTTATTACCAAATTGAATTAGAGAGCTTCACAGGGCAACGTTCACAGATACTCACTGCAGCTCTCCGCCTCCTCACTGTAAGCTTATTTTTAAACTGCACAGCTTTGTTTCACATCAAAGGCCAGCTTCCGGAAATAAGCGCAATTGTTAGTGGGTGAAAAATGACCGCATTTCTGACGTGCATTACGGTGTCAAGAAAAAGTTCCGTCGTTAAATTAACCTCCTAAAAAATAGGAATGTCTTCCGTCGCTCTTCGATCTCAATTTTGTGTTATGTTCTGGTTGCTCACAACAATGTACCCACCTACGTTGAGGCGAGATTAATCCCTTCTGTACATTCGGCGGTACCCATGACGATTCGATTTGGAACCCAAATCCGAATTCAAATCGCACGATTGTTTGCAAGCAAGTTGTGGTGTTCGAGAGGTTGCGACCGGTGGGACATCATTGCAGCTCACCAGCTAGCATGCAAAATTAGCATGGCCATTACTCCGCTCTATGATGGTTCGTTGTCACTATTCTATTCTTCAACTCAACCGTCTCATATGCTGCCGCGACCAAACAGCAAATCTCCGTAGCCAGATAGACGGCCTTGTTCGGTAATCATCAGCTCACCATGTGTTTGAACCTGAAAAAAGACTTCGGGCCGTAAGGGTTATGAGCCCCAGCCTATTCTCGATAAATTAGGTTTTGTCAGCGCGTTTGAACCTCTTGCAGCGGCATTGACTTCGAGGAAGCTTTTCAGTGACCTGGAGCATCTGAATGGCTTCACCATGAATGACCAGATTAGAACAAAACAGTATTAGGACAAAATGGCGAGAAAAGCTTAGTGGGTGTGTGTAAATTAAAGTTGATTTGGATTGTGTTCAGTTTGTTCTTTTCCTTGTGTTCCTCTCATTGGATCATCTGGTGTCGATGAGGCACGATGGAACGATCCTTCGCAATCTTCAAGTTACAAATATAGCTCCACGGACAGAATCTGAGAGTGGATGGGAAGGACGATGTCTGAATTCAATCGGTATCTTAGAGATTATTCTGTTAATACTTTTTACGACGAGTGGTTGAAACAGTATTTTAATCCGATTTACATGTTCATGAGGCGCATTGAATGCTTCACAACAACCAGACAATTTTTGTATTTTGAGCGGTGAGAGTGGCAAAACAATGTTTCAATGAAGTGCAGATTTCACTCGTGACAAGGTAAAATGAATGGCTGTTTTCAGAGTGCAAAGATCTCATCGAGCGATATGGTGTTTGACACGCAGTTTCATATTGTTGTTGGGTCGGAGATGCAAGACTTTCCGCAATGGGAGAGGACTTGGAGAGAAAACCATGTGAGCTTCGTGAGGCCAGCCAGTTGACCGCCACGTTAGAGGCGGCACGGCGTGCGCGGACAAATGCTCTTGGCAATGGCGCGCTTGTGCACTTCTCGCCCGGAAAACAGGATCATCATCTCGATGAGTACTCTTGGTGAGACCATCCTGCCAGCGAACTCAATTATGTTGAAATGAGAGGCGTAGGTTTGGTTATGTTGTTGCGCTACGAGTGACTGAGGTTCTAGTCCTCGCTTGTGCTTCTGCCGTTGGCTGAACTTAATGTAAACGTCTCATACATGAAGTGCAGCCAACGGGGCGTTCTGTTTCCACTGCCGCGTTCTCGATCAGATGTGCTTGTCCCTTGGGAGCAAGAGGGAGAAATGGAGTGGCTGTCGAATGTGAATTGTATATCTTGGTGCAGATGTCGAGGTTCACTCTTGCATTTCAGGTACCATTGTGTGATCAAGCTATGACATGGGGAAGCCCAGTATCCGTGGTTCTCACTTGTGTTTGTTTATGATATTGTGTTTCGTATTTTACGTTGTATTAATAGGGCTTGAGATGCTGGTTGAACCGGTGAGTGTAAATTCAGAGTCTACTGACGTAAAAAAAAAACGTCAGATTGGTGAATGATTGTTGCACAAAGAGTATTGTCGAAATACCACAATTGTAGCTTTCGGGTTGGCTTTCATGTAGTACGCAGACATCGCTCGCCTGGACACAATTTGTTCCAGCGGAGGAGGAAAGATTAGGACCCCTGATTGGCGTGTTGGCAATGATTTGAGGATACCAATGGTGGTGAAATATACCCACTATCGCATGGAATGCCAGTTAGTATTACGTTTGTTAAGTGTGATTTCTCTTACGGACTTGTGTAGCATTTGACAGAGAGAAGTTCTTTGAACCAAAAACTTACCATCCTTCTTGATTGTGTCCTTGTGATTCATTTGTCTATTCCGTCTGCACTTTCGAACTACTGCTTTGTCTTGATGTTTAAAGCACCACACAGAGGTCCAATTTTTGACGTTTCATTATATTGCTCACAGGGTTTATACATGAATTCATCCAGGCCAAAACGTTTTGGAGCAGCCATGACTCTTGCGTCCAATGCAGCCAATTAAGTAAACATGACTCTTCATGGTGAAACTTGACTCATTTCATGAAAACCGCTAAAGAGTTGAATAGATTCTGATGGGGGCCGAAAACACGTCAGTGGTTGGGGTCGAGAAGCCCAAGGCAAGGCTCTTTGCTGCTGTCTTACCAAGTATCTGGTTTATCAAGCTTAGGTCCATTCGTAGAAGATCACGTAGATTAAACGCGACTGACAATAATGAGCCTGTGATTCCTGATAATGCGCCCTTTCTTCCCAAAAGCGTTGAGAACTGCTACAAGAATGGAATGATATCTGAAGAATGTATCTTCAGTCCTCTTGAAGGTTCACACACCACAACCGCAAATGATTCTACCATCTCCAGTTCATGTCCTAAAAACAATGAAGCTAGATCTGTCCCCATCTCTTCCACTCTTAGCAGAAAAAGTATCGCTCGCCCTGAAGGAACCCCAAGCAGGCAAAGTATCACTCGCTCGGAAGGGTCTGCGGGGACTTCTAGGTCAACCCCAGTGACTTCCATCGCAACCACTACATCTTCTACAACTTCTAGTATATTCTCCAGATGCATGTACAGATCCACGTTTTTCTCAGGGCTTAGAGGATTGTGCAAGCTGGTGGATGATGCTACTCTTTCGAAGGAAAGCAATTCGGTGCAATTTCGAAAACCCTTGACACCAACGATAAGGACATGGTTCTTGGTGGGCTGCGGCGGAACCCCCTGCCCACGTACTCGACACAGCAGCCTGGATCTGGAGAGAGAGTCTGGTTTGATGGACTTGGACGGGGAACCAGGGCTAGATTGTATCGATGAAGGAATGGGAGTTGATGGTTCCTGGCCCAAAAAACCTGAGTCATGGTCGGCAGGCAAACCAACGGCGTGGAGTGTTGATCTTGATAATGAGGAGGTAGTCAAGAACCAAGTTGTCGAAAAGAGAAAGAGATATGCTAAGAACAGGCAGAGGTCTCCAGTGAAACCCCCAATGAAGGTGAAATCTCCGGTGAAGGTGAAGAGGAGGTCTAAACCCACGCTTGGTCACTTGTTTTCCACAAGGTCCGACACGGACTCCCCGAGGAAGGGCTTCCCTGAGACGGAAGAAGAGTCTGAGATTCATATTGAGCATCCCAACCTAGTTACTCTTCCTTGGGGATCAGCGTCTTCGGGAAGCGATAGCACCTTCAGAGTGCCTTCGGTGGGTTCAGAGTATGGATTGGCGCTGTCACAGCGGAGGCCGTTCTCCTTCTCAGGATCAGAGACCCCGGCTTACAATGACGAATTCGATAATGGTAACATCTCCGACAGCCAGAGCTTGCTGAGGGCAAAGGTGCTTGCAGCGGAGCGGCTGCGTGATGACTCGAAGTCGTGGAGGGAGCAACGGAAGATGGATAGGAAGTACAAGGATGAAGAGGCAATGAAGCTTCTTGCTTCTCTTGATCAAGCTTTGGATCAGCGGAATTTGAAGAGGTTGATTGAGGATGCAGAGGACAGCGATCCTGGTTATGCATCCATGTTCGGAAGTCCCAGATTCGAGCTCCACAACTCGCCCGTGTTCGAGAGCTTTCTCGAATCTTCCGCCAAGGCATGGGGAATCGATTTTCCTAATCTCAAAATGGACGAAGCTAAGACTTCAGGTAATATCAGTGATAAAAGTAGAGAGCTGCATTGTGTCACTGTCCAGACGGCGACTCAAGTGCGTGACCGGGACAACAGAGCGAGAGAGGCTGCCCGTAGCGTGCGAGTTAATTCTTCCTCGCCTGTGAAGGCACGGAAGACGAGGCGTGCTCTGGAAAAGGAAGCCCCCAAGAGGTTACCTCCTTCGAGAAAGACCTCCTCAAGAAACCTCCATGCATCCCCACCAGGAGGAGATGCCTCTAAGGACAGTCGCGACCATAGAACCATCCATCCACAACGTGAGGAGAGTATGGTGGATCCGGAGCTCTGTGAAGAATTCAATTACCATAGAAGGGATTTTTACGAAACAAGAAAGCGGACCAAGCAGCGACGGCCAAAGCAAGTGGCTTCCGTTAATACTACGCCGCATGTTCCAGCCCCAGCTCCCAAGCTCCAGTCTAATGTCAGCAAGGAAAGAGTAGCTGTTGTGGTTGAAAGCTCTTACGATCCTTACAACGATTTCCGCGAGTCCATGATAGAGATGATTGTTGATCAAGATATTCAGGAGACCTGCGATTTGGAGGAACTTCTGCAGTGTTATCTGTCACTGAATGAGGCGGAGTATCATAATGTCATTGTGGATGTCTTCACGGACGTATGGCATGAGCTTTTCGAGAACAAATTCTAGAAACTCCTGGAAAGGGAGGATGCAAATACTGTCCCATTTACAGTAGGATTTGCTTCTCCTTAATAGGTGCAACCCTAAGCATGCGGGAGGAGTCCTCACTGCCATAAATCAGAGGTTGAAAAGGACTACCCTCTTGATGCAGCATGAATCAACTTCACAGAAATCTGTTCGCATGCTAGTTCAACTCTGGACATTCACATATTTGCCGACAAGAAAGCTGAGTCCTTTACTGTTGAATGAACACATGCTAGGACTAAGCATCATGTGCGGAAGGCCATCAGACAACTGGAAGTGGTAGTTGGGTCCACTTCCGAGGACAGGCAGACAGACACGTAGAGGACTCTCAATTTCTTACACTGGTTTTTCAGTGTCGAGTTGTGTGTGAGACTGTGAAACTAGGTTCTAAAGCAGATGAAAGGTGAATCTTAAGCGGTGGGTATATTTTCGTGTATGAGGGGAGATTCTGAAGGCAACAGAAAACACAGATCAGGTAGATAGCTAGACACTCGGAGTGGGTGGACGACCATGACCGCATCAGGTTGTGGTTTTCGAAACGCAGATATATTTGAGTATCATTAAAGCTTCTGGAGGTCGTGAGCTTCGAGCCCAGGTATCGCCCTTGCACTGTATGAAGTTGTGCACGTAGTTTCCTCAGAAGAGTAATTTGTGTGGAAGTCGGGTTACCCTTGTCAATGGTCCTGATCTCTTGAAACCTGTGTAGAGGAAGTCTGTTTGGCTGCGCAATTTGCTTATAGTCGAGAAACGACCCTCTTTATTAGCAATCATTTAGATAGTCGGATCTAGTATGATGTACTGAATACGTTTATCAGATTGCGTTATTACAGGTGGATTTACGTGCCCTAGCACATTCAAAGAATTCTCCATCATGTACGAGGCTTCCAACACATGAAGTACGGTGAAGCACATCAGGAAATAGAAAAGAAAAGCGGGTGTTAATGCAGACTGAATTAACAGGTTGCATTTGATAGTGTAGGCACCCTCTCGTGGTCTCAATAGGAGAAAGTTACGCATTTTACGTTCACAGAACAAAGTTTTGGCGATCACCGTCTGAGCCACTCCAGCATCAGAAGGATTTCGCACAGGCGGAATTATTTCAGTAATTAATCATTGTTGATAAGAATGAGAGGCCAGCATGTCAACGATTCTTGATGCTTCATCTCAAACGTAATATACAACGTGCTATTTCCGCAACTGTTGGCATTGGTTCTACCACAGAAACATTTTTAGTGCCAGATTGCACAGTTGGCAAAACTTAACTCCGTTGCACCCTATCATCAGCATTTGTTTAAATTGAGAACTTGGAAGCAGCAGGTGCACCCTGCTGCCGGCGATACATTTGTAAGACATGCTCTGCATCGAGAACATGGCGAGACCAGAACCATAATTGCAATTTCCAATTCCAGCGGTGTAGCTTGTGGATGCATGTTTCTACTTTGAATTCCTCAGGGCGTTTAGTTTGTAGGCACAGAAGCACTACCTTTCACTAGAAACATGCCCTTGTGTACAGTCACAGTTGCTAAACATCGCTCATGAATATGTGGACACTCTCCAATGCTCATCCCACGGCACGATTCTGCATTGATGAAACAGACCAGCTATCATCGCAACTAATCACTGACAAGAAGTGAAGTTATATTTGTTTCACAACTGGCTGGCCTAGGATATAGTTATGAATCTTGTCAAAGTTTACGAAGAATCTCAAGCAGCTATCTATCATGAGGACATCGCTCGTTTGTACTGGCAGATACTGACTGTCACTGCAGACTGTGCTGCCGCCATGGCCTGCTGTGCAGACTTCTGTTACACCTGGTGCAACAGGGTTCCTATAGCAACGTGACAGTGCAACGATGTAGAGATTCCTGGCCAAACCCCTGCAATGAAATCAAAAACCCAACCCACTGCATTGATAACCTTACCATACCTTTTACAAATGACGGCATGTAAACCATGTTCCTGGAGGAGACATTAGGACTTAACATTACAACCGCGACAGCATGTGACCATTGAGAGCTCAACTCTCCGTATACGAGAGTGGCTTGCTTTTAATCAGTTGCTCCCCAAAAACCCACAGTAGGAGCTTGAAGCAGGTTTTATAACCATGCCGCAAGCCTGTGTAGGGGCAAGCAGAACTTGTCAAAATAAGTTACTGGTGTGTACGCATCAACAGTAGCCATTGCATTGCATCTAAAAGTGCTGGCATCAAAACATTTACCAATCACTATCATGAGCAATCTTGTGCTGCGACCAATTTGAGAGCGAAGGTGTCCTTGCAACCACTCCACACGACATCCTCCATCTCAAAACATCCAGCCCTTGGGTTTGGAGGAATGTTTGAAAACCATGGCCGTGTAGGAATTGCAGTGCGATTTTAGGGAGATTCAACTCACGCAAGAGATCCCATGCTGAATCATTGCTCCCATCCTCATCCGCGACTGAAATTTGCAAAGCAGCCCCATCCAAACACAGCTCCAGGCTCTCCTTCTCCCAAGAGGTAAATAGACGCAAGGACGAAACGCCATAGCCCATGCTTTTCGACGATCCCTTGCCTCAAATCTGTCCTGACTTGAACTCCTGCCGCAAACTCCACGTCTGCACCCTCCATTCTTTGTTGCCATTGATTTCGTCACTCCAATCATGAGAACAATCATACATTTGAAACAGAATTTGTCCCATGTGCAATTGGAAAATAATAAAGTAAAACGTTGAAAGTCGAGTTCAATTGTTGGATTGAAATCACATTCTAAAACTGCCAGCAGCTTATGTTTTACACATAAATTTGCAAGTGTTTGCATCACTGCGTTTGAATAAGCTTATTGTTATGGTAGTGAGTCCTCAAACGTAATTTACAAGCATTGCTACTACTGTTAACTATGATATCGTTCTGATGCGTCAACTCCAAATTTGTCCAAAAATGTTTGATTAATCATCTTCAAACTCATCTTGACATGCATCAAAAATGACTTTAGGCTCTTCACGCGCATGCTGCTATGCCTCAAGAATGTGTTCCGAAGCCTCATCTCACTCTCCTCATTATTTATGTCAACATTATTAGATAATTTGTGTAATGAACTACAGCATATTTAGCATATTCTACTATCATGCAACCCAAATTGTGTTAGTCATTCTTCCAAATATGATTTATAAAATGAAGGCCTTCCGTGCGTTTGTAATCACCGACAACATCAGAGTATATTCTGCAAAGTGAACTCTTCTTCCCTATGACTCATAGCACTCATGGATGCGGTGCAAACATTGTCGTCTTCGTTGTGATCTAACGTCAGATTTGATCAGATTGAATTAATGTGTCAATTTCATCGGTTCAATAATGGTGAAACGTCAAGTTGTGTTATATTAGATTTCGAGGAGCGAAAATCTGTGGTGTTAGGTACTCGAGACGATGCAGCGTTGATAATGAAACACGCAAATGTAGAATGATGTTCAGTAACTTCATATGTTATGTGTTTTTTTTGGGTATTTTTAGTTGACATCCGAAACACAAAATGGAAAAAGTGTAAGTTCTACGCAGCATGACTGTCAAGGGTGGTAGCATGATTCAAGTGACAAAGTGACTGCTGATAAGAAGAAGACTCTCTGTTGTCTTGTATGGTAGCAGATCTGATTCGTGGGAGGCGAGGAAGACTACTGATCAGCGGAACTACCGCCGCCAGCAAAACTGACCCACAACTATGCATCGGAGGGTCACGGTCTGGAACACTGGTTTGCAGACTCTGCAGAATCAGAGATTTGATTTCGAAAACGTAGCATCTGAGGACTTTCTATGATGAAACACTTGCTTCTTCGATGCAGTGATTTCTGATGGACTTTGCAACTGATTTCGCGAGTTTTCCTACCAACCTCATTGCTACGAAAAGTTGTGAACTCGGTTTGTTCCGATGAAGCAACCCAGTCAAAGAATGATGCAACTGACACGACGGTTCAAGCATTGATGTCGATTTGAATTTTTTCTTCACCCACCTCAGCTCAATTTGCTGGCCATGTCATCGACTGCTATCACCGTGCACCAATATTGCAACGCTGGGATAAGTTTTGAAAAGCTTCGGGGACTGTCCCTCCCATTCACGCACCCTCTGGTGCCCAGTACACGGTCGCCGCCCTCATGCTTCAAAAGCTTGTCCTAGGAGGAACCATTCTGACGAGTCATTAACAGTTGAACTCCATCTAGCAGACAAGGTGAGTACATTGCAAAAATGTACTACTCAGAAGTGATTGAAGAGTGTTGGCACTTTCATGTGTCAAGATAATCCAGCTCAACTGCAAAGATACTGAAGGATGTATGATGTATTTCTCTAGATTCCTCCACCACCAATGGCATTATCGTGGAGTAGATTTATGTCCTCAAGGGCCAACTTCTGAAAAAAAAAGTAAAAACAAAACCAGGTCTCTCTCTTAGGCTCAGTAGTTGAGGCTGGAGTTAATAACATAGAATCACGTTTGACCCTTTTAGTTTTAACCCACAAGCTATGACCCACCTATTTCCGTGGTGGCCGAATTTTTCAACTAATGAATTTCTTTCAGTAAAGATGGGCAGTCAACTCGTGTTGCGCACAAAAATTGTTTTAGCAGTTCTCTTTTTTTAAAGAAAAATCAACTGAGTGAGCTTCTACACTTCTGCACTTCGACACAAAAAGATCATCGCCTTAACAGGTATTTAGGGGAACTCACACAGCAAGCTTGCCACGAAGATACAGCAGAATTTCTCCCTCACAACACTTTCACCAATTCCCCTCTGGAAGACTTTGCATCGACTATCAGAATCACTTTTTATCAATTCACATTTTTGGTTTTTTCCTTCTTTTCTTTTTCCCCCGCATGGTTTCCTCGAAATCTAGCTTCTTCATCACGTTGCCATGGTTGGACGTTGCAGTACCAAAGGAATTGCGAGTCGTGAAATGCACGCAGAGCCACAAAGTGCAACCCATGAGGGACTTCTCAAAGTGAGGACGCCGTTGACGAGAGAAATAGAGAGACTGGGCATCATGGACCCAGATCCTGAGAGACAGAGGTGAGTTCCAGTCGTGAGCCAGCTGGAGACTGAGTTCTGCTTTTGTTTCTTCATGCACTTAGCAGCCTGGCATTGTGCTGGAATATCTGCACTATCCATCACTGTTGCTCCTCGTTAGCTGGCAGCAACCACTAGATTTCAACGGATGTTGTCTCACAAACTCAATGCACCACAATACAGATAGCTTTGTATATGTATATCTATATATATATATATATACACACACACAAACAAACAAACAAACAAGTAAATATTACATTCGCCAGATTGAAACAGTTATGCAGGTTGAATCACTGGCAGAGGAAATCAGAAGCCTGACGGAAAAGCTTGTACTTGGTGGCTTCCTTTACTGTTGCTCAGGCTGTGTGGTCTGAGCTTGCCTCAGTTGTTAATACACCCTTGAAAAATCATTAGTTTAGTTGTTAATATGAGTATGTATATATATAGATATAGATATATATATATATATATATATATAAAAGATGTTGCTAATGTCATCACAGTTTTTGCTTTTGTTATCACAACTTATTTTTTAATTTTAATTTGTTGAAATTAAATTCATTTTTTGTATAATTTGGAAAAAATAAAATATATTGAAAATATTAACAAAATAAATATGAAAAAATATTTAAAATAATATTTTATTTCATAAATAAATATTGAAATTAAAAAAATTAAAAAATTAAAAAAAAAAAGTGTGTCAAGTGAGTGGTGGGTTGTGGTGGCATTAGTAAAAACTATAGTGACAATACCAAAAATTGTGACAATATTAGCAAAACCCTATATATATATATATATATATATACACACACACATATGTGTATGTGTGTCATTTTTCAAAATAACATTCAATATAAATGAAGAAGATGAGAGAAAGAGATTTGAAAATAACCAATATTATTTTTGTTTGTTTCTTGGTCTTTCAGTGCAATTTTTTAAAGTCTAGATAGAAGATATCCAACATGGATTCTTTATGCATGGTCATGAAGAACTAATCTTCACATTGGACACTAGGTAGAATGAATATTTAACATCAATGTTTATCCAACAAAAAGTTTAGGCAAGTTCAAAAAAATTAGCTTGCCTATTTTGTTTTGTACCCAAAAGTCTAAGAGAAAATGTCTTCAGATAATACAACTTAAATTGATTAACAAAGCAGTGGCTAAATCAAAGGTAGCACCACCTTTTGGCCTTAAACTATAAATCTCTAGGATGTAGGGAACTACTCTTGCCAAGTAGTAGAGCTTCTCTACCACATGTCCTCTACATAAAACATAACAATCTATATTAGAGGAAGTGTTTTACCTTTTGCTTGCTATATGTCAAATGCCATAGACTCGATTTCTTTACATGAAATTTTTTGGACAATGTTTGTCTACATATTGAGTCTAAGAACTTGTTTGTAGAACCCTATTGTATAGTGTATTAGATACTACATACAACATCTAAATCTTATAATTATATATTAATGTTTATTAACAATTTTTAATTTAGTGAACTTAAACTTAAAATCAGTCTTGTTTTAAGAAGTATATTTTTCAGCATGCACAAGTCTTCTTTATTTATTTATTTATTTTATATATGTAATGTTACAAGCTGCCACACATTTGTAAAACAGAAATTGAACATTTAGACTGTAGATAATAACAATAATTAATGTACAAAAATTTGTTAATACTAATATCTTTACCACCTAACAAGGTATCAATAAGATGGAAACACTCTACCCATAAATCATTTATATACTAGTGGTCTATTTTTGTTTTTTTTGTTTTTTTAAGAAAAAAGACATACACACACTGATTCTTGGGTTTTCTAGAAAGCATCAATATTATGAAAAATGTTCAAGCAAGTGACTTTCCTAATTCTAATTACAAATATGTAGGTATGTATGTATATATATATATATATATATATATTCCTTTGAAAACTCAAGTTGACTATCTTGCAAAGCCATTGTTTTATTAATTCCATTTAAGAACAGGTAAACACATTAAACTTGTGATAATCATATTCTCCTTCCACACACATACATGCCAAACATAAGAACTGGTCTAATATCCTGCAAGCAAATCACATGCAAAAAGCATCAGCCATTGCAAAAACATTTATTTAAGAAAATGAAAAGCCAAGTTCCTCCTCAATTTGAAATCCATTTCTACTAGTAGACACAAAATATAGAACAAAAAATAAATAAGTAAGTAAAATGCCAAGTGGGTTTTGAAAGCCATGCAAGAATCAAAATGATGCTTCCTCAGAAACTATTAAAACAACAACATTTAATAATAAAACAAAATAAAATGCCATGAAACCAGAGGTGGAAGACAAGACTGGCACACTGCCCTCTTGGCTTCACAGGAAGACGCCACTTGTAAGCTATGTACTCGAGCAGGCCATGATTTGAGATACGTCCCGCACTGAACTCTTCTCTCTTGGACAAAAAAAGATTAAATTAGTGACCTTAATGACATAACAAGAATAATCACAACAACAATTAAGGAATAATCAAGACATGCCTATAAAAAAGGTAGGGAGTTGATCTAATCAAACCAGGCCTCGGACGCCCATTTACAACTTCTTTTGGCAGTGATGGAGCGATGCCACAGTGGAGCCTGGCAATCAGGCACAGACCCCATCACCAGAACCGCGCCCTAAAACCGTGAGAACTCACGAACTGATAGCTGTAATGATAGAAAACTATTCCTAGGAGCGAACAAAAACCCAGGTGGCAATAAAAAGAAAAAGAAATAGCAAAGGAGAAAGAATAAAAATTAAACGGCGAGGCAGATAGACAACGCTGACGTGGCGGGAATTTCATGGACGGCGGGGGAACGCATCCGTACATTTGGATGAATGAATGAATTATTGGATGAATGTACAAAAGAGGACTCTTAGTGGGTATCAGAAAAAGATGTGGGGGGGTGGGGATGAGCCAAAACCAGTTGACCTACCTGCAGACCTCGGATAATGACGGCACGAGTTCAGGGCCACAAATCCAGGATGATCTCTGTCACTTACATTGCACGCCAATGCCACATATAAATATATTAATATTAATATTATTAACCCTCAATAGCACCATAATTTTCTGTTGTTGCTCCCATTTGCTTTTTCACTGTTTGTTAACTATTCATTGCAACGGCCCAGCTGGCCAGGAACCTATAAAATCCCTTTTTTCTCACTGGGTTCGAAACAATCTCAAGGGACGAGATTAGGAGATTTCGTTTTTTAATCTCAAGGTTATGGCAAACCATGACTCTAGGATTAAATTCCCAGTTGGATGCTGCTGAGGTGGAAGGAGGGTCGGTTCTAGGGGGACTGATTAGCAGCCGGGGCGTGTGACTGTGGTGCCTAATACCGTGGCGTATCCTGAAAAGCGTGTCTTTTTTTCAGGGAAGATGCATCCCACACCTTTCGATGCGCATAATAAAACTGTGAAGAAGAGGAATTATTTACTTTTGTTCTCCTGATTTCTTCAGAAAGATTCGTCTCAGCACTGAATTAGATCGGACCAAAAATGACATCCTTTTTTCATTTGTGCTAAGGTTCTGTAGGGTTTTGAAGCGAATCTGATCTGGGTTCGTTTAAGGTATCTGCAGAACCCACAAATCATGGGCCTGGATTTTTGTGACTTGAGCCAGAGACTGAAGCGGGCATTGCAGAAAGAAAGATTCCATTAAAGCGAGAGGGACCTTATCTAGCCTGCCGTTGGTCAGTGGCTGAAACATCCCATTCCTGAAGAAATTACTGCATTGGGTGTTATAGTTTTAACTTTATGAGCTTTGATTTTTGCCATACATTCAAGTCCACGGCATTATTCAAGACCATATCCATGGTTTGTTATACAATTCTAATTGCACCCCACAAACACAACAAGTAAGTGAACTGGGCTATGTTAATTCACAAATTTGTGTCCATCTTTTTGTGAGAAGAGGTGTCAAAAGAGTAAAATGGATTTAAGGAAATTTTATTTAATTTACAAATAAGTCAATAATAACATGTGTAAAATAATTGAATATTGTAGAATTAATTCTCCAAATTATACGTACAGACAGACAGAAAGCCAGACAGCCAGACATGGATACATATACAGCAAACTAAACACCCATTGTCAAAGCTGTACATTGATTTGTTTTTTTTAATCCTTAATTTTAAGAAAGTTCAAAATGTCAAAAGGTCAATATTCGAGGAGAAGGTTCATTAAATCAGGCCATGTGTATGTTCCAAAGAAATTTCCTGTAAGTTTATTATATATGTATTTTTAATAATTGCCCTCTGATGTTGATGAGAATATTTTAGATCACTGTACAAGGTTGAAATATATATATATATATATATATATATGTATGTAAATTTTTTCTTAAATATTTTTAATCTTGATGGATGACTTTCCTTAACTTTATGGAGAAGGGGATTGGAGGGTTGACTCACAACTATTGAAGGTCTTAAATTTAGAAATTACACAGTTGTAAAAGCAATTTTTTCTTCCACTCTTTTGGTTCAAGTTGAATACAAGAGGATGCTTTTTGGGGTGTAGTATCTCTGAGGCTGGGATGCTTTTTAACCTTTTAAGCATGGCCAATGACATGGAGCTCCATGTGAGACTTTTGAAGTTCATCCTTTTGAGAATTGCCCTGAAGTCTTTGCAGTTGACTTTTGTGAAACTATGTGAAAAAATAAGTCTAGAAATGAAGAATAGACTTGATTTTCTCCCACAATAACATTTAATTTTTCTTTCATTCATTGAATTTTCTTAGGTATTCATGTTACTTTGTTGAATTCAAATATAGTGTAGAGTTTGTGATTCATTCATACATGTGTGGTATACATAACAATAGTAATAATAATAATAATAATAATAATCATACTATCATGTTAAACTTTCTTCTAATTAATAAAATTAAAATAATGATTTATTGTCAATTTTTTTTTTTGAAAACTCCATCCAGCTTGATTGTGTATAAATTCCAAACTTTCTGAGTGCATGCATATTATTACCACACCATGATTCCGCTACAACTTTGATTATCAAGGTGTCAATTAATCAAGAAAGAGCTGTAGTTGTTGTTTCCAACACCTTTTTTAATACACGAAATCAAATGAAGTAATCTTTATTAGAGTGAAATTGGAGAACACAGAAGAAGTAGTACTTGGGGCATGTGAAGGAACCCAGAATAGTCATACAATATTAGTTCTATTCCTTGTGCAAGAGGGTGCTCCAAGTGCTATGAAGGGATATGAATTGACATCAAGGTAAGGCTCTAAATCACCAAATGGGTTAAGCCAGAATATAGTTGCCAAGCAAACAAAGGGGGTATGAAACCGCGGTGGAGGTGGGCCCCTATAACCGATAACATCCATAATAATGCAGGGGGGGGGGATTTTGAATGTGCACTTAAGGGGACGCTGAGTGAAAACCTCGTACTGCACGCCAGTGGCAACCGACCACCTAAACGAGGGGGGGGGGGGGGGAGGTACCGACCTCTACCGACCTCGCTGCCACTTGGGTGTGGCCGTGGCGAGGTGGGATCCATGGCTATGGAGCATCAAGTGGACGGAGAGAGAGAATAGACGGAGTGGGGATGGCATCAGCAGTAGGAACGGCATGGTTGATAATGAACATGCAGTCCGAAACTTGCCATTTACCGGTCTGGTTCTCTTTGTGTTGGGGTGTAGCAATCAAGCAGAGCCAGGGATGGCATAGGATAGTCTAGCATCAAACGCTGTGCAGGGTGGTGGTGATAAGATCGCGGTTTGGCACAGTTGTGTGTGAGAGCCTTTAACAGCCTTTCTGGTGGTGACACTGACAAATTGTGGGTTGTCTGTGTGGACTGTAGTTGCACTGGAGTAGAAGAAGCATTTTAGTAGCTTAACCTGCGGGCTTACGTGTTTGGAGTTTTCCCCAGGAAGGAGAGATAGGGTGGAGTGGAGTGTAGTGGTGCGTGCGATGCTGGTCGGTGAAGGTGGGGTTTAGGGTATTCGAACAGTAGTTGGAAGTGTGCCAAGAGTCTTAGGGACTATATGCACATTGGGTGGAAATGGTGTCTTGTGGTTTATTGTCGTTGGGGTGAGTGAATTGTTGGGAATGGGGGTGGGAGTTGGGTTATGTGTGTGAATTTTCGTGTGGGTAGTGGTGGCTTTGGTGATGGATCGGACTCAAGGAGACAGTGCAAGCACGAGTAGAACTGTTAGCGGAGATGACGTCTTCTCGCAAATCATGGGTGATATTGATACAATTGCATCCGTGTTGGACTCGGTCGTGGACGCACCTAAAGAGCGTCTCGCTTTGAAAGAGCAGCTGTCGGGATTCAAAAACCAGATCGGTGTGCTGGAAACTCATGTGAAGAAGAAGCTCGGCACCAAGAGTGACTCGCGACCCTCCAGCCTTGATGTTAGTCTCACTAGTTTGCAGCGGAATGTGGACTTGGTGTCTCGCTCTCTGGGGATCGACCCACTGTGGAATTCTTCTGAAGATAGTCGAAATCGGAAGGTTGTAGCGGACGAGCCCCCTGCTCCGAAGGAAAGTCCCGTTGTTTCTCTCTACTGCTGGCGTTTTAAGCTCAAAGCTAAGAAGCTGTTACGCGCCCCAGCCGGATGCAAAAACATTCGTGCATTCTCCCTCAGGTTGGCTACACGAGATCTTCACGGCACTAATCTCGTGAAGTTTCTGTAGTTGGTTTGCTCGAATTGGGGCGGTTTGCTCGAATTATTGTAATGGGGCGGTTTCTTTAGTCGAGGGGCTGCCGAGTTGCCAGTTCTCGGCATTGTAAGAAGTGGGGGAAAATCAAACTAGTTGTTTATTTTTTTGTTTATTTATCACACATGGTTGGTATGAAGGTCGAGGGGCGTCATCAAATTTATGATGAAGGACTATCCGGGCGCGCTTGCTGATCTGAACAAGGCAGATTCTCTGGACCCCAACAACAGCTTCATACTGCAGTATGTACTTTCTTCCCTGCACTAAATCAGCATCAAAACCCCAAAGCTTCTTACGTTTCACTGAAATGCTTGGAATGGCGCATATTGTTCTCAGACTCTGTGTTGTGGTGGATGAAGGCTGCGTGGAGACGTGAAGTGCTGGATGAATGACTACGAAGGGGCATTAAATGATCTGTCTCGCGCGAATCGTCTGAGACCCGACGACACTTTCACCTTGAGGTATTTTGCGATTTTTTGGGTTTATTTTTTCTCTCAGATGTACCACGCGTCCTGTTTTGTATCAATGATGTGAACTTTGGGTGCTGCTGCTTTAGCTGACGGCTCTTCTGTGCGGAATTCAGGGCTTTGGGCGCCGCTAAATCGGCTCTTGGAGATCGTCGTGGCGCTTTGCAAGTTCTGAATGCTGCGAATCGTTTGCAACCGAACGACATGTGGACTTTGAGGTATCACAAAGCACTAACTTACTCTTTAGTACCGGCCCTCTTCCATGAAAGTTTTACCCTAACGTCCCGTCCTTTGTGTATTTTTCAATTCTCGAATTTGGAAACCACATTTTTCCAGTTAGCGAGAAGATGATCTTCTTTGGAGGCCATTTTCTACTTTGTTAGCATTGTTAGTACTTGTTACGTTATGTGGTTTCCAAATTATACATTTAGTTTCGAAGAAGGGGTAAGAGTCAGCTATTGTGGATATGGTGGTGGATCGGGGGATCTTCATGCGGCACGATATCTGCCAATTGCCTCATTTATATTTCCCCGTTTACAATATGTTGTCACCGAAAGCTTGCAGTTGTTGGGATTTGAGTAGTATACTTGGTTTCATGCACTTTTTCCAAGCTTAGCTTGTACCCCACTGAGACCTGACAATTTTCTGGGTCCCTCCTAAAGTTTCGATCTACACGCTTCGGTCTGTTTATTGTGGGCCATGCTATTTAAAAGGCTACTCTATGTTGCAAATTGGCTTTGTTATTCTTTATTACAATTGTGTCAGTTAGATTTTAATGGGGCTTGCGAACCACATTTCAGCAGATAGGATCCAACCCGCTGGATTTTTTGGTTGGGACTTAATCACCATAATGTGTTTTGTTAACCGCATTGTCTCGTAATTTTTAGTTCTATTATTTTCTAAACTTCAATTAATGTGGTGCACATTGTTTCGAAGCCACAATGCTTTGGATATCACAATCGTTAGAAGGAAAGACGCAATGATAAAATCGTTGACCAGTTCAAGTGAACAGTGTCACCTCGATGACTGCAATTGTTTTCTTAGTTGAGCAGTTTTTGAAGCGGATCTTCTCTCACTCCATCAATTTGCATGAGGACGGTGGCGCGTGTGAGAGGTCCTTTTCTTTTTGTCGTCTTCCCTTTTTTTATTTGACTTTTAAAACTGGAACAGGTGGGTCATGAAAATCATAACGATTTGTAATTTCATTTGATGTGTTGCAGACTTCGAGGGCGAGTTAAGCGCTATCTCCATGACTATGCTGGGGCCTTGGTGGATCTAGATGCTGCAGATCGTATCGAGCCGAACGACCTGGATGTGCTTCGGTATGTACATGTGAGGAGAGAAGCTGCTGATTTGGCAACAAATCAAGCAGCTGAAGGCTTACCAAGTGCCTGACTTTGTATAATCAGTTTAATAAGAGTCTTAGAAAAGATATCTGAATCTCCTGTTCAGAATACTGGTGGTTCTCTTTATTAATTTGTTAGTCATGATTATTGTTCTGCAGTGTTCGGGGCGTAGTGAAATTCAATCTATGTGATTTTGAAGGGGCGCTTATTGACCTTAACAAGGCTCATCGAATGGAGCCTAAAAGTTCCTCAATCCTCAGGTGCTGAGACTAGTACTTTGAATCTTAAGGTTAAGTTGAGCAGGAAGCATTCCAGATATCATTTGTGTTAACCTGTTCTACATAGTAGTGGCAGTTATACCTATTTCTGGTGGTCAAATCTTAAGCTACTTAAATTTAGAATTAGTCTATGTAATGGATGGCGGGAAATATGTACAACTGCTTTCCTGGTGAGTATACGCTTAATTCAATATTTTGACAATTTTGACAGGTATCGAGCAGATGTGCAGTTACGTGCTGGTAAACTAGATCAAGCCCTTATTGATGTAAAGAAAGCTATGGAGCTCGATTCAACAAGCGGTTCTTTGTATAGGTCTTCTACCTCTATGACGACGGTCCAAGTCCTTAGGATACCTTAATTCCCTGGAAAACTTCTTTGAATAATTTATCGTGTATCAGCTTCTACTCATCCCGTGGAAAGACTAAATTTGAATTCCTCTGCTAAGCTCCTCTGTCTGATCTTTGCGAATTGAGGCACTGAACGTGATTTCTTGATACTATTGTGACTGCAGGATTAGAGGAGAGGTGAAGTTCCAAATGAAAGAGTTTCCAGCTGCGCTTGCAGATTTGAACAAAGCTTTAGAAATGCAACCTGATGATGTTTGTGGTTTGAGGTAATTTCTTCTGATATTGCAGTATTTTTAACAATTGATGGTTTGGTGCTGGTTTTGTCAAGAATCAGTTGGCTTACGTAGGTTACTATCTGTCTTTGAATTTTGTGTCATCTCATAGCTAGTTCACATTCATAGGCACTATCACACACTTCAATTATTCAATCTTAGTCAGTCAGTTTTAGCACCTCGTACCTAAGGTAAATTTTAAATGTGGTTTGTGCAGAGCTCGTGGCGAGCTGTTATATGAGATGGGAGATTATGAAGAGGCTTTAACGGATTTGCAAGCAGCAGATCGTGCTATGCGTAACCATGAGAACACTCTCAAGTACATGCCTAACTTAATATATGGGGTTTTGATTACATTAGCATACATGGATGTTGACAAGTTTAAATCCTTGTCATGCACAGCACTACGACATTTCTTAATGCTAAACTGGGTGATAACTCTTGTCTCTTTCAGAATTTTGGCGAAAATCAAATATTTGTTGAATGATTACAAGGGAGCCCTCGTGGCTCTCAATAGAGCCGATAAAGTCGAGCCAAACAACCATGTGACGCTCAGGTATCCAATTTTGTCTTCATTGCACGTTTTGTGTTCAATATTTTCTTTCAGAGTCTGGATCAGGTAATCATGTTGGTTGTTGCAGGAGTATTTAAACAATCGTTGGGCTGATTATGTATAGTTTGAAACTTTGTTTGAACAGAGCTCGAGGCAACGTGAAACGAAAGCTGGGCAATTACAAAGATGCACTCCGAGATCTCAACAGGGCCAATGAACTCAGCCCGCAAAGCAGTTGGATCCTTGGGTATGTTAAACTAACTTCATATTCCTTGTTAATCTGTCTAATAGCCATTTCATGATCACATGCTTTTTGTGAGCTGACAAGTTTCTCCGCAAATAGTAGTTGTTGTGTTCCTTTCAAGTTAAGAGGTCTAGGGTATGGTTTAATGATACTTTGGTGATTTTAAACAAAACTGGTAACACGTGAATCGACAACTTTTGTACTTCGTCCATACGTCCAAATATATGGGGTTTGTAAACTCATTCGAAAGTCCATTTGCAGAGTAAGAGGTGATGTGAAGCGAAAACTCGGTGACCTTCATGGTGCTCTGGCGGATCTAAATAGTGCTGATGATCTTGAACCCAATAACAATTTCACTTTGAGGTACGTCTACTTGGATCTACTTAGCTACATTTACAGAAAACTAGGGTGTGTTTATCAAATGCTTTTTGCTTTTTGCGATTACATCCAAGTTTGTGAATTTGGAAAGGTCTACAGGTTCTTGAAAGATTTAGAGGACTTGGTTTACATGTGTGATAGACGTCTGAGTAAAAACGGAGTCTTGTGGGTGTGTTCCTCAGAGTGCGTGGAAAGGTGAAAAAGTTGCTTGGGGACGAGGAAGGTGCCTTGAATGATCTCACCTTGGCAGAGTTGATTGAAAATGGCACTAACGTAAGTGATATCTATCCACCTTCAATATGCATGAATGCTTCTATCTGATGTACCAGATGAGCTCTTGTATCTGGTCATTGATGCCGTAAGTAATATCGAAAACTACAGCTTGTCAGATGATTGAGGACCCAGTGTTGCTATGTTGCAGATCGATGATGTCGATTTTAAGCCTCCCAGGCGGAGGACATCACGGAGGCTGCTTGAAACTCTCTCAGAGCGAAATCAACGAAGCACTCAAACTTCAATCAGAGAAATACCATCCGAGTTTGATTCAAATACAGACACAAGGTCCTCAGTCAAAACCCTGTCATCCGAGTTTGAACCACGTAGCGATGTTAGTAGTGTGGTTGTTGCAGATGCTTTCCGTTCATCATAATCCACCATTTTTATGAGATTGAGTTGTACATAGCGGGTTTAAGATTTAGTTATCAAGATCTATGTAAAGTGTATCTTATTCTGAGATTGTAATTTAGACTTAAGGTTGTAGGCGAGCTATCCGGCCTCCTAGTCTCTAAGGGTAAGGTAGTGCTGACGCATCAGGAAAAGGCTATCCAAGTTTTGATTTTAACCTCGGGTGGTTCTTTCATATAACAAGAAGCTCGTAAGGATTGTGTGTCCTGGTATGCACTTGTTAAGTGCTTCATTTTGTATCCAGAAGGTGACTGTTGGTGTTCATATATGGTGTCTGCTCCAATGATATACAAGTGTATGGAAGACGCAGGTGTAAAACAATGTTACGGCTTTAGAATTTATGAATATGCCAGTTGCCTATCAACATTTTATGAATGACATTTTCTTTGTTTCTCTTAATGACTTTGTTATTTGTTAGCTGATTGATATTTTGGTGCATCTCAAGAAATCTAAAGAACACACAAAAAAAATATATGTTTTGTGTTACAAAAAGTTGAGAACTGCAAAAACTTTCTAGCAACGATTACAATTTGTTAGATTTTTTAACACATGGCAAGGCTTAATAGTTGTGGATGTCTATTAATCTAAATTTGTTTTCTTTGTAATTGTATGTATATATAGCTAGAAATCTGATTACATTGCATTTAAAATTGAAGTTATGAAAGTGTTTTATAGAAAAAAAATAAAATGTTCAAGTTGTAAATTCACATCTTGGAACAATTGTTAATGCCAAGTTCTTATTCTTAAGCAATTGTAATAATAAAGAATTAATCACCGTCTCTTAGAAATTTTTAATAAAAACAAATCAAATTATATTTCATAAAAATTCCTCCGAGTACCATATAGTGTCAGGCAAGTGCTACCGAAACCAGCCTCAGCTGCTCCCAATTGCGAACATTGTGGTCCTGGATTTGCAGTGTCGAACAGAGCGATATTGACTGTACTGAAACTCTCTCATTGGCTTTGTTGGTGAATATTATCGGCAACCAACTGTGCTTACATCAGACTTATTCCTTGTTTTCGCATTTCCCGCTTCATCGCCAGTTCCATGCATTCTGTCGATTAGATTGTTGTTAGTGGTTTCGAGAATCGGTCGATGTAGGGGCAATATCAGATTTTCAGGGTGGTTTCAGATTCTCTTCGCGGACTGTAAACCTCTTCGGTGGTGAACCCATCGAGCGAGGGGGCAGCCTTGTTCACAAGGTTTATTGTTTGGACCCAGCAGCCTTGAGTCACAGTTTTCTTCCAGTGGTCGACGTCGAGTTAGCGCACACCAAGCTGGTAGTGCGTGATCTTGAATGTCAAAAGTGTCGACAAAAGTAGCACATAATTTAGCGGTAGACTTTGGCCGGCAAGTTGGGGTTCACAGCGATTAATTCGGGCAGCTGTGGGTATCGAATTAGGTGATCATTCTAGAAGCAAACGCAGTGCTAAGCTGATGCAGCTTTTACTTTGATTATATTACAAATCAAAGTAAAAAAAGGACACACCAAGAGCTATGCAATACAATTGAATCTCATAAATGTTTTTGCAACTAATACAAAGGAACCAAAAATTAGTATGTTTGAGCAATTTCATAAAAAAAATAAAAATGAACATAGTGGTATTGGTTAGAAAAATCACAACTTTTTAAAAGAATACATTATTAGATATATTTATAACCATGTTTAGAAATTGTAATTGAAAAAAAGAAAAAAACACTGAGACAAAAATTTATAGTTTACAATTAAAATTGTACTTTATGATCAATTATTTTGTTAAATTGTAACAACTTGCATGTGATTGTAGCTGATGAGAAGTGGCTCTTAATTCCTATACTTGGTAGAAAAACGTACCTTCTAATTCCTTTTATAAGAATGATAAAATATTCAACTTGTACTCTATAAATATAAAAAAATAATAAATTCATTTTAAACTGTATATCTTAAGAATTTATTTTTAGTGCCAATAGTTTTACTATAATATTTTATAGACTGAATTAATAAGTTTCTTTCAACTACTATAAACTAAAAGGATTTAAAAGAAATTTTTTAATAGATAATAAAAAAAATTACATATTAATTTAATTTATTAATTTGTTTTTTCTATTTGTAGCTATGAAAAATATTACCTTGTTGGTAAAAACAATGTTATAAAATAACATTTATTCTATGTATAAGTAATAAATGTTAAAAAGAAATATCATTATTATTTTTTATCTTTTATAATTTAATACACAAAGTCCAAAACATTAGTCAACATAAAGCTATAGATAACAACTAATGATGTATCAAAATTAGAATAATACTAGTATGTTATGATTGGTTTTAGAAAATTTAGAGAAATTTTGGCAAAAAAATTAAGATTGCTTAGAGGAGCATACAACCATGTTTTAGTACAAAAAGAAAAAAAAAATTTATATAGACTTGTCAAAAGATATTATGTTTGTATATAATATAAAAAGAAGTATTAGAACATGAAAAATTAATATTTAAGTGAATACACGTTTTTAAATTTAATAGATACTTAAATAACTACTATCATAAATAAAAGATTTAAAGAATCTTGGTCTATTTTTTAGACTACAAGAATAAGAATGACAATATAAGATTGATTTAATTTTGCTTTAATGTATACTAGGTGATAAGAAAGTTATGTAGAATCTTTCTAAAGACCACAAGATAACCAAGACACATTTTTAAGTTGTAAAATATTTTTATTGTGAATTTTATGTGGCTATAGAAATTCTAATAAAGTTTAAATAAGTTGGATGATGTTAGCTAGAAATCTTAATTTATATATTATAGGAAGATAGTTGATAAGTATTTTGGGATTTTAATATTTTTTTATGCTTAAAAAATAATACCACTTTTGATAATTGTTGGGATTTTAAAATCTATTTTAGAATAAAATAATTAGAACTTGATAAGATTTTGTATCTACTTTTAATAATTTCATCAAATACTAAGAGCTTATTTTAAGTTTATGGTGCTAAATATGTTTATCTTCCATTATAATTAATTAATTATTTATTTTATAAATAAGGTATTTTAAAAGAAATAAAATTATAAATAATATATTTAATTTTTTTTGATAATTTATGATAATATTAAAAAATAATTATTACAAAGACATGTCATAACAAACTCAATTATGCTTCAAGACAAAAGCTATCACAAAATATTTAATATGTTTATGATGAAAATAAGTTGTAATTAGACTAAAAGTGTCATTTAGATATTAACATCATTCTTAAAATAAAACCTTATTTTCAAATAATTCTTTAATATAAATCTTGTGATTAGTATTAGTTACTAAATATTTTTTATATGTAAATAAATAAAATAAAAATGTTTTATCTAATCTTATTTATAATTCTTTATTTAATGAAAATCCCAATGAATTTAAATTTACAAAAAATAGTAATAAAAATTTAAGTCAACTTAAAATAGCAGCTATGGTTGATGCTATCATTAAACCTTAAAATTATATATATATATATATATATATATATATATATATATTTAATATTTATAATTATTTATTATTTAACTATAGAAACAGAGTTATTTTATTATTTTTTTCTTTTATCCTAAAAACTATAATATTTTAAATTTTAAATCAATAAATTTACTTTTAAAAATTCAATGTTTTATTTTTTAAAAAAATCTATTTTTTTGTCTATTAATCTGTTTTTATCTTGCTCTTTGATGTGAGATAAATTTTATTAAATTTCAAAGATTTACTTTAGTTGATAATTTATTTTAAATTAATTAATTAATTAATTAATCAATGGTGGAATTTAACAATTTTTAATGGTCAATTTTTTTAAATCTACAATAATCTTTATACACTTCTTAAGATATATATATATATATATATATATATATATATTTTCAAGAGATATTGATTTTTTAAGTTTCTTATATAAAACAACTCACAAGGAATAAACCAATGGGATAAACCACAAGAGACAAAAACTATCTCTAATTGGCTACATATCTCATTGTTTTTATTAAAACTTTTGATGAATTAGATATCAAAATATGCATTCTATTGCTCCAAATTGCTTAAGTGGTTGTGGTAAATTCTATGTGGTCTTTAATTTCTTGCCTTTGTCTTTTTATAAGGTGTTATTAAACTATTGGTTTATATAAATGAATGAATTCAAGCCTAATAGTTTATTATGATGCCCTAGGTGAGTGTAATTCTTGAACGATTTATTAAAGCTTTAGATACTTTATTCAAAGCTTAGCTATCTATTAATTATAGATAGCATAAAGACTTTCTAGGATTTGAGGATGGTACCTTGTAGATTTATTTTCAGATTTGCAAGGAAGACAACTTTGAAAGCCTAATATACAATTGTCATACATACATTTAAAAAATAATTTTGATACTATTATTAATACATGTATTAAAGAAATTAATTTCTTTTGCATAAATGATAGATTGTTCTAAAGGATTGTAAAAGAGAAAGTTTGGATGAAATATTTATATATTTTTTAATATAAAAAATCACTCAATTCTTCACTTACATAATTTTTAAATGATACATAATTGAAGGTTTTGGTTTTTTGTAACTTGCAAAATTTTTCTTGCTCCATTAAATAGCGATATAATTTTTTTGAATGTAATTAAATTTGATCAATATATTTATTTCTTATGTAAGTCAAGAAATTTTCTTATAGAAATTAAAAATATCCTAGTTATCCTTTAAATTATTTAATTTAAAGATAATATTAAATAAAAAATAAAAAATAATTATAATTTTTATTATATATAAAACCATTTTTAAAATTTTTATAATTATGTATAACTACTTCTACTACAAGGATTTTATAGGTGACGTCCCTAAAAAACAAAAGATTAGCTATCTATAATATTCATTTATACAAGTTTAATTTTGTTTTACAAAGGATATTTAATGATACTCAACAAGTAATTATTTAAAATAATTAGAGTTTTTATGTTCTACTTTAAAAAGATAAAACTTATATTATTTTTAGATATTAAATTAATATATACTATAAAGAAAAATAAGGTTCACATAATAATACATGATTTTTAAGGATTTAGCTATATGATACTTATTCTAATCGGAAAATTTATTTTTTAACATATTTTTTTCTTTTTAAATTTTACTCTATGTTTAAAGATTATATTCATTCATCAAATAAAAAAATACTTATGAATTCTTCATAATATAAACACAAGCTTTCTTTTAGGTGCCTAAACTAGATTTTTTTCTTGTGAAAAATTATTATCATATAAAATCAAATTTTATGTATTTTACTTTTAACTTCATATTATTAAGAGACAAGGTTTTTTCAAGAGTTATCTTTGTGGTTTATTATTTGAAGTATTTGTTGCAATGGCTAACAAAATTGATGCATTGTAAGTATTAAATGTTTTATTTATTTCTAAATTTATATTAGAATATTCTTCAAATTTACTAATTTTTTTATAGACAGAATAGTTTTAATACATTAATGAATATTGTAAATTTTTATTGTAGTTTAATAGAATAAATTCAATTTTATTTTTTTTATAAAAATACTAAAACATCTAAAATATTTGCTAGTTATTTTTTTAAAAAAAAATCACCTTTTATTATTATTATTACGATTATTAAAAAAATTATAAATATTTTAAGAATATTTCCTTAAAAGTAAATTAAGACATTGAAAATTTTCAGTATAAAGAGTGTCATTTTTACATGAAGAATCAAAATGAAGTTGAATAATATAATTGATTTAATTCTTCTTTTATAATTTTTATTTAAAATGACAATAAATAGAAAATAAAATTAATGGTATATATTTTTTAATTACTTTACATATTTAAAAGATTCCAAGACAAGCGAATTTAATACAAAACCTTCATTTAATATTTGTAAATTATCTTATATATTTCTAAAGTTTACCATTTATATCTATAAAAGCCAAAGGTAATTTAGTAACACATATTTATCATAAAGGTGTCTAAAGTGAAAAGGACAATTTTTTATTTTATATATTACATAAATATATTATTAAGATATGTTGATTATATAACCTCCACAACTTGGAAATATTTTATGATGAATAATACTTATCAATCTTCAGTAACTACTCTCTCTTCAAATTTATTTATAATTTTGAATTCGGCTATCAATTTTAATAAAATTTGATCAAAATATTTTTACCAAGACGAAAATAGAACATTTTTCTACCAAAAGCTTTCAAAATTTTGTACAAAGAATTCAAAAATATAAAATATAAATTTAAATCCAGAAAAAAATATTTCCACACATTATAAGTATTATTTAAGTTAAGAAACAGCAATCATGTAATTAAAGATATTATTAATAATATCTAAAAATAATTATCAAATAGATTTAATAATCACGAATTTAATATTTCATCAAAAGAATGTATTTAAATACTCTTGAATTAGCTATAAATAAATAAATAAAATTTTATAATTAACAGTTATATTTATCTTAAAGATTATTTAATAGAAAAAAAAATTCAATATGCTTTAAGTTTTGATGTTGTAATTCTTGCCTCTAAAATTTAAAGTTATTATAGTATGATAATGGTTTCAAAATAATTTGAACAATGTCAAATTCATAACTTAAAAAAATTGTAATTTAAATGTTTTAGTTATTGTTAATTTTTTTATGTAAATTTACAAACAATTTTGCACCTCATAAATAATTCCATTAGAAATGTAACGCAAATATGTTCAACTCAATTATTTTACAACTTTTAACACCTCATTAAGAATTACTAAACTGACAGCCAAAAAGCTTTCCTCAAAATCTAAATCTAAAAAACCTTTATCTTTCACAACTTTCTTCATGTCTTAAGTTTTTCCAACATAGGTTTTCCAAAACACCACCACAGATCTCCACCCACAACAAAAAAAACCTATTGAAAGTAAAATCCTCAAAAATCATTAACCTTGCATGACCTTATTAACTCGTTTTGTGCACCCAACACCACGCTAGGCTGTTGAATCCTGAACATCCAAAAACTTTTTAAAAAAATGCGATGATTTTAAGAAGTTGAAACCACCCGTAAACACAAATTTCACGTAATCACACTCACAAGTCAGAACACAATCTGGTATATAGAAACAAGCCCGATCACAACTTCCCCACACAGAAAACAAGCACACAATGCATTCAAAACACAAGGAAGGAAGGAATGAAGGAAGGAAGAAGCAGACTAAGTGAAAAGCCATGGGGGACAAGGAATGCAAGCAGACAAGCTGGAGCACAGTCTGTGGGGAGACGCCATAGCTATGGCTGGCTCATGGTGTTCTCACATGGCAGTGGAAGAAGAAGAAGAAGAAGAAGAAGAAGGAGAGCCAACGACATGGTGAAGCCAAGGGCTGCAACAAGGAAGGAAGGCACAATAGCCAGAAGACAATGCAAACAAGGGATGACCATGCAAAGGCAGTAAAAGCATGCAGAGTATTCTCTGCGAATCCTGCGAGGTAGTGGGATTTCAACACCCACATCAAGATTGTGGAATAGGACTTGGGCCCTCGTGATGCTGTAGCAGCGGCATCCAATGCAAAGGGAGAAAGGAAGAGGGGGGCGTAATGAGATTGAGCACCGTGGCATCCACACTCCAACACAAATTCATATGAATTTCGAGTGGGATGCAGATGATGTGATTTCCTTGTCGGTGCATCTTTCCATGCGTCCATTATGCGGCACACACACACACACAAAAACATATGTGCTTGTGTATATAGAAATATATATATATATATATATATATAGAGAGAGAGAGAGATATCTTAGAAAAAAAGGAGTTGGAGATGGGGTCCCACCAGGCATCCATGTCGGCTGCTGGTCTTGGAATAGCATCTTGTAAGATCTACCAAGCACCACTGCTTTTGGTTGTTGCTGCCAAAATTATACAATTGCTAGGCTGGCAGAGTGCGTGGGGATGTGCTCCAGCGGATGCTGCGATGCATCAACCGTGAGGGGGGAGAGACGACCAGGTATTCTTCTCGTGCCCAGGTGACACACTCGTGCTTCGCCCCAAACCCCTATGCTCCTTCTTTTGATTAGGTCGGGGTTTGCGCTAATGTGCTGGTTGCATGGTCCACATTACTCCCTGATTAATCTCTTAATGTATCTTTTTGTCCGGACGCGTGTCCTTTCCCTCAAAAGTTCATGCAGGTGTCGGGCTTTCATTTTCTCCGATCAGGAATCCTGCGTGTGTTGTTTAACTTTTATTTAATTCTTTTTGGTTGTATATGTTTGTATGTGTGTGTGTGTGTGTGTACTGCATGGTGTTGTGTAAAAGTACTCTGCCATTGTGCTTGCTAGTTGGCTGTGACAAGTCTCGAAACGATTTCTATGAGCTTTTGCGAAGTCATCTTATCACCCCGGGTTCTGCTTTTAGGTGAACGAAGTAGGAATTGGGCAATGCTGAAACACTATGCCTCTGACAGAACTGGACTAACGTTGCTAGATTAAAGACTTTCGGAAGCTTTTTTGTCGGAATTTTCCAAGTGTAGGTTCAGGAATGGAAACATTGCTGGCTTGAATAATTGCTCCGGAAGTGCCCAATCCACATTTCAACCCTTCCGGCGAGATGCAACTTCAAGCGAGCTGGTTGTTTAGAAACATGATCCCCGGTTAACACGACTATCTCATGTGTTGCAAGGCCTTTACGGTTTAGTAATATGGGTAGTGCTCAAAAAATGTTGCTTGAACAAGCGGGGAGAAGCAACCATGCGATTTGAATATCGTGAGATTATAATGCCGGTAGACAAACGGTTTAGATTTCCACACGAACTCTACTATTCATTTATGTTGGAAATGTAGATATATCACCCAATACTTGGGAAATTCAACACAATCAGACAGTTTCCGTAGAAATCGTGTTGCTTGCCTTAAGGTACTCGGTCACTTGAAAAGTCGTGTGACCGTATACCCACTGATTAGTCGACTGATGATATCATACACCTCAAATTACTAACGAACAAAATCCAACATGAAGAAGACGCAGGTACGAAGCAACAAGGGGATGAGGTAACGGTATAATACTTTGTAAGACACTTCTTTATTTCGAGAAGAAAGTCTCTTGGAAAACATAGCTCCATGTGCACATGTAGCAACAAAGAAGCTGCAATATAATATTTTTACCGAACACCAAGATCTTTTCTCCGAACTCGTTGTGTTTATACATCCAACACGATCAACACCCAACTGTAGTCAGGTAGACTAACACCAGATCTTGCTTTTGAGATCATTTGCAGTCACTTATTTGTCGTGGCTACGGATCTAGTAATCGAACTACTGGAGGACCCGTCTTCTATCAAGCACTGATGCCGAGGTCATTTTGCCCTCGCTTTTGGAAATTGTACAAAATGAGATGCATCAGCAAGACCATAGCTTATCACTCCTATAAATCAGTGTTGTCCTACCTTATGAGCTTTCATAATCCTGCATATCCGTAAATCACATATCACACAATTCTGCCGCTCGACATGAGGTTGCAGCAAGACACTACAGATATAGATTATCTCTAGAGGTGTTCGCGGACGAGAATTGATTAAATACAACCAGGCTGATTCTCACACAGACCAGGAAGGAGAAATTATAAAATAAAAAACAGAAAAAGAAAAAGAAAAAAAAGAAAAAAAAGAAGGAAAATTAGAGAACTAACCAAGTGACAAGAAGAAGGGGGAAAAAGAACACAAAAAATGTTGGAAGGCTCCAAGTGATCAGTTCACTTACGGCCAGTCCCACCATGGCAGTACGCTCTGCTCCACGGCAGGCGCAAAAAAGTAGCCACAATTTGGGTCCACTTGGAAGGCGTGGCAGCCCTCCTCAAGCTTCACCGGGAAGGATTGTTGCGAAGCATTCACATCGTCGTCAACGCCGAGGGGTCCCACTAGGCTCTCCGGAGGAGGGAATTGGCTGCAGCAAGCCAGTTTCTCCTCGTCACTGGGGTTGCTGTCCGAGGTGTGAGGACTATCAGCGTCGAGTAGATCGCTGGAGTTGCTTCCTGAGCTTGTCGACGTCTTCTCCACCTCGAGCTTGGGTGTCGAGCAGACGGTCATGGTGGGAGAGGATCTCGTGTGGTGGTGATCCTTGGTAATCGCGAGGTTGTAAGGCTTCTTGCCCAGTTTCGGCGACTCCTCTGTGTCTGGCATGCAATGTGAGTCGCTCTCACATTGGGAAGAGTCCGCGGATTGCGAAGATTGGGAACCCTGGGGACTTGTCTTCCCCGAGAGACGCTGTACCTGAAGGAAGAGAAGAGACCGCGATTAACTCTCACGTCACCCACGATCGCAAGGAAAGGAGTGATCAGTATCCGAATGAGTTGAGAGAAATTGGGGAGGGTGTACTAACCTCAGCCTTGAGGACGTCTTTCTCCCGGAGAGCGGTCTCGAAGTCTGCCTTCAGTTTGATGTACCCAGAATTCAACATTTCGTAGTCCCGCTCCAGCTGTTTCGTTTTCCAGCGTGCGCGTCGGTTCTGGAACCAAACAGCGACTTGGCGAGGTTGCAGGCCGAGCTCCTTGGCAAGCTGCATTTTCCTCTCGGGTTCCAGTTTGTTCTCTACCTCGAAGCTGCGCTCGAGGGACCGAACCTGGTCGAACGAAAGCCGGCGCTTCTTCTCCACGGGTTGGGAGCCGTCGTCTCCACCGTCGTCGCCATCCTCTGGCTCCTCCCCTGGCCCGTTCCCGAATGTGGGGAAGAAGGGTCGTTTCTGCCCGCACCCCGCAATTGCATCTTCCAGACCTCCACCTAACCTCGAAACTGGAAACAGGACCAACAACAAACAATCAGATGTACCCACGGCTATGCTCGATGACGGGATAAAAAGAGAAACCCACAAATTTTGGTCGCACTCAAACACTGTGGCACCAAAGCACATTGAATTCCTCTGTACCGGCACACATCCACTTACACTAGTGTAGAAGTACTCCGCTAAGGCTCTAGCTTAATCGGATACTTCCATTAAGCACCCGGCGACTTGGCCATTCTCATAATTTAATAGACCGATCGCTACAATTGAGGTCAAATTCCTCAACTGCAAGCTCTAGATTGGGAGGAGTGGAGTACTACCTTGGAAACTGACGTGAGGATTGCAGCTATTAAGCATCGCCACGAGGGAGTTCGAGCTGCCCATGTCGTTCCGCATTAGCATCACATTCTGTCCTCCGAAGCTGCTCAACCCAGTCGCCGCCATCGCCATCGTTTCTAGCTCTCCCCCGAAACTGGCTCCACGGTCCCTAATCCCAATAATCCCAGCAATTCTACGACAGATGCAGCTACATCGCTCTGTGTATGTCTCAAACTGCCCCTTCTCGTCTCCCTCACATAGCCAAATGTCTCGGGCGGATCATCACATGTTCTGTCGACGGGAGAGTTGGGGGCCTGCACCCACAGCACTCAAGAATGGAAGGCGCCCACCACTCACACGACCTTCTCACCAGCCATTGCCAACTAAGCTCTTGAGAGCAGATGCAGTGAGTATATATAATGAGACACAGCAACAATCCACTAGAACTGGAAAGAGGAACCTGCCACCGTCTTAGCAACCTTTACTCTCAAAGCGAAGAAAGCTGACAGGTATTCCAGGAGAATAAATTACAATTTACTCCAGCAAAAGTGCTGGCTGCGGGTTTGTCCACGGAGGCCGTCGGTCATGCCCCATCATGAGGTGGATGTGAAGTCAATGTGAGCAGGCATGGCACAGACACTTGAAGCATGAGTCCACGGAGCAAGGCCATTGAACAATGTCAGTCCACCCGAACAGAGCTGGAGAATGTGGAAGATGGTAGTAGGTCCGACTTGTTCACAAAATTTCCCATATTTTAATACTATTCTACTCCGATAGCAAGTGGTAATTCTCCACTGCTTGAATAAGACTGAAACACAGAACAATGTGCATCTACGTAGACAAGAGCAGAGGGCATTCACTAAAGAAAATAAACAAAGATTAGAAGGGATATTATGCTTGAAGCTGGACATTCAGTTAAGAAAATTAAACGAAGATTAGAAGGGATATTATGCATGAAGCTGGACAAGGTGGGTTCGCCCGCTGGTTAGACTGAAACGGAGCCAGCGAACGGGGCGCCGCTTTGCGAGCGAATGGTTGCAGTAGGAGGAACTTACTCCTTGCCTGTTGGAGGGGGCCTTAGCCAGGCTCTTCGGGCCCAGTTGTGTGGCCTAGCTGTGAGGCGAAGGGCAGGAGAGGGCATCACAACAGTGCGTTGAGACCAGAAAGTAAAGCCTGAGAATTTTGCTTGTTATCTTTGACCGCTGGCCGTCCCAGAGAGGGAGGTTAAGTTTTTCCTTCCTGGATTTCAGGCATGGGCCACCCCCTCTTCCAGCTCTTCTTCCAGCTGTGCAGGCTGCCAACGAACCTTCGGAGACAAATTTGGAGCTGCAACCACCGAGACGGACAACGAGCAAGACACCCACTCCACGACGACTTTGCTCGACAGTCGCGCTTACCCAGTCGTCGCGGACACATTCTCCCAGGCCAGCGTCTGCATGCCCAAATCCAGCTCCCCCGTGTTCACCACTTTGCAAATTAACTTCCAAGACCAAGTAGCCTCAGAAAACGCTCTCTTTTTTTCTTTTTTTTCTTTTTTCTTATTCCTATTTTCCCATTTTCCAGTTTCCTGTACTCTCTCAGTCAACCTCGTCATGGCGCTTCTCAACATGAGCCCGAGCTCAGGCCAGCGGACAAAATACATTGTGCTACCAGCAACTTCCGCAGTACAGGCGTACTTCGACTGCCTGTATGTACGTTCACGAGTGGCTACATATTCCAGGCTCTGTCAAGTGTACACTGTAGTACCTTTGCACGTCCAAGAGCTTGAACCCAACAGTCCTGTGCACACATAACCATTTTCATACATGAATTCTCCGTCGTAGAGCTCCTGGACCTGCTTAAAAAAGCTCCCTGGTGTGAATTTAGGCCTATCTGGTGATGCCGTTATCCTAAAACCACTTGGCTGTGGTGGTGATCTGGGCACTGAATGATGCGACATTCAGAGAAAACCACTCGGATCTCCCATCTTCTAACGCACCCCTGCCCCTCCTTGCCTACCCACTCCACAACATTCAGTTGCTGCTTTGTTTCTGTCTTTGCTATTATTTATTTATTTATTTATTTATTTATAACTTAGAATATCCAGGTTACCCGAACAATGCAAGCTTTGTTGTTAACCTGAAGCTTCGGATCTTATTGAGATCAGTGAGTAGAGTGGATGGGTGACTTTTTCTGCAAAAAATTATATTAATATGTGAATTTGAATACATATTTTGGGCCAATATTAATGACATTTTATTCACCCATAGCATAACTCACGAAAGCACTTTCGTAGCCATCGTGAATGGATAAGTATTCTGTAGTAAATTATATGCGTATGTCACCATACAATCAAGCCATATAAGTATCATCTGAAGACAAAATATTTGCAATCGTTCCTTTCACAAAATTATCCAATTATTTGTTGGATCTACACTTCATAGTTTATTATCACAACCTGCACATTTAAGGGATTTGAAATTGCAATCTAGGAATTTATGTTTATAAGTTATGTCATAAATTCCTAGACTGAAATATAATTCATGTTAACACTTCTTGATTCAAATTGTAATCACGAAGATGAAGAAAGAAGAAAAAAATGGGGGAAAAAACAAGAAATAAAATAATGCACTTAATAATGAAATACATGAATATTGAGCAAAACTGATTTTGTTCATGAAATCTTGCCACGAAGTGTTTCCATTCTCCCAAACCTGAGCTTGGTTGTTACAGACGCTCAGTATATGTCCATCGACATCTTCAACGTCGCACACTACATAAAAACAAAGAGACAATGGAGGATACTTAAACTGTTGCAAGGAAGGTATTCCACTATTGCTCTTGCTCCTGCTCCTGCAAACTTGTAGAGCGAAAAAGAGGCAGTAAAAGATGGTCCCGTCTCGACAGTGAGAGAGACGCAGGTTCTGCGTCGTCATGATCTCTTCAAGGGTATAGACAGCGGCAGCGAATCCTGTCGTAGGCCCGCCATGGTGAGCACTCGGGCGCCGCTTATGTACATGCTGGTGGGGCGTGAAAAACTTGAGACAGTGTGGACCGTGGAGTGTAGACAAGGAATGGAGATGGTGTTGGTGGTGGTGGGAGCCAGAGATCTCCCCAGCTCTTGGAAAGGTTTTACGGCCTCAGTTCATTGTGGTCTTCTTGTTGGAAAACCGTAGCTAGTTGATATGGTTAATGGCCTCTGTGGTCTAGTCTACACTGGAAGCGGTGAAGGATTTGCGTGGAACTTGTAGGTGACGTCGAGCACCCAAAAGCTTGCTAGGACGAGGCCGAAGCTGGTGGAACTGGACAACTCAGTAGGCACTGTGCATGTTCCTTCACGGATACTTCTAAGCGCCGAGATTATCAACACTGGCGCGAGATTACGATTTTAAGGCGTTATCTCTCAAAGGCAGATAGCGCTCGTGGGGCGTCGCTCAATCTCTTGAAAAAGGATCGAAATGTTCTACCATATAATATGACACGTGGTTTCGAGGCGCGGGCTTGGGAAGTTGGGTCGACCCTGCACAAGTTTACTTTTTCTTCCTCTGGGGGTACATTCCTGTAGAAGCAAGAGTCATGCTGTGCACGTAAAGCTTCTTATTTTTACCGTGAAACCAGCCGCACCGGGAACACCAGGTCAGCTGAGCGCATATACAGATGGATATGTTGGTCTGTGGAGTATTTACAGTAATCTGGGTGCAGATCTGGGTGCTTGAAGGGTTCCTCTTGCGATGGATTTTGTAACGGTTTGGCTAGAAAACAAGGATTTAATGAGCAAAATTCTTTGGTAGTTGATTCATTTGCAACCTTAAGAGCAACAATAACAAGAGCATGATACTGGCTGCAAAAACATGTTGGAGCAGGGAGTCGTGATGTGATGCAGACAAGGCACTTCGCAGATAAAGTTTTTTTCTTCTTTTCATGCTTTTAACATGTGCATGACCTTTTTTTTGACTTAAAACAAACAAAATGAGATGTCGGGAAAAAAGACTGTTAACCGCGAGTTTGGAAGCAGTGCAAAGCCTCATCGCCTCACAATCTGCAAAAAGTTGTAATCAGCTTTTCATAAAGCTAGTTACCTAACCATATCATCTGAGCTGATTTCCTCTGCTAAATTGCTAATAGGAATAAGAACAACTTTACAGCCAAAATCTATTTATAAAACCATATAAGGAAATGCTAAACCGTGTGTTTGGACAGGACCGAACACAAGAAACTTACTTCTAATCCGTTCCGAGTTTCTACTGGTGGCAAGATTTGGGTGGTACGAACTTTTCACCTTTTCGCCTAATTTACGCAAATGAATTCCACATTAAATAAGTCTTTCAGGGGATTAATTACGCTCGCGTGAGCAGATGAGTAATTAAGAACGGAATAAGTCCTCTAAGATCACGAACACCTAATGAGACTTTGCGGCAGATGCTTGCTGTTTGTCTGCAACAATTTAGCCCAGTGAACAAGTAGAACCGACATTCAGGGTAATATCACTGCAGATAAATGCCAAATTTATCGATTCTGACCCTAGCACATATTCCGTGAAACATCCGCATGGGGTAGAATCCACTGCAATAACTAAGTCTAATGTCCAAGCTGCCGGTTGATTATACAAAGATAAGATCTCGGTTGGTACTATTTTAATAATTTTCCGTTCCATTGTAAAATCCACTATGCTCAGTCTCTTTTGCTACAGTAATACCACCATTCATGCAGTTTTATCTTCTGTTCTTCTCTTTGTTGACATAAACGAGGTAAACTCGCGGTTTAGATTTAAAGAAGAAGATCAGGAACAAATCACTCAATCACTTTTTCTTTTTTTCTTTTTTCTCGACACAAACGAGGCTTAGGAGCCAAGTTTTACAGTACAGCACATAAGTCACAGCGTCCATACTATAGCACATCCAGAGTGTGAATTATTAGACCTCTGTGGGGAACTTTAGTACTCCAACATATTGTCACCCCTGATTTTTGACCAAATATATTTATGTTTCTAGCCATTTAAGATCTATCCCACCCACAAAGGAAGGTTTGCCTCTATTCTAGTTTCTTTCCTATTCAACGAAGTGTGTCTTTCCGGAACAGTCTTCCGTATTCAGTAAGATTGGGCCAAATTGGCTGATGTGTGTGTTTATCACTCTATGTTTCTTCGCCAAATGTGAATGTGTTCCATTGCCAAAACCTCAAATTCAGGCAGGCATTGGGGCATACACACCATAGCACTAGTGAACAAGCTTTGACATCGCTCCGGACGATTACTTTTGGTCGGCCGCGATCCGAGCTGTACCAGTGTTTGAGGAAAATGAGCTTGACCGCTGGTTAATTAATCTCAAGCCTATGTTTAGGACCGCCAAGAAGGTTGCAAAGCACCGCAGATGCTGGGTGTGAGTGACCCTGACATCAGACTCGTGGGCACTGCCAAAGTGGTTATCTCTGAAGCTTTTCGCAAACCAACAGGTGATGAATGGGGCCGCAAGGGAGTTGGAGGGGGGGAAGGAAATAGAAGAAAAAAAGTGGAGCTCTGTCTAAACAATGCCTCCAAAAAGTATTCCGTGGACTTTACGTAATGAGTCTAAGGCTGTCAATGTTGTTCGCACCGACCCCCATCATGAGCGTCTCCGAGGGCATACCTCAGGCACAGAAAAGCGGCCCTGGCTCCAGCTGATTATGTTGTCACTGCTTTAAACATTGCAAATGTTCTGCTAAGAAACTTGGGTGCAGGTAAAAATGATGATAACGCACTTAACGTACAATTCATTAATTCTCCACCCTTCACATATCTGACAATTTTATCAACTTCTTGCTTGTGTTTTCCTACATTAAACAATAACGAAAATCTCATCCTGCAGACCTCATTTCATGTGAAGTTTATACCCAATAAAGCCAAGTAGTTGTAGAATCATTGCAACGAAACAATATCCACACTTTCCAGCAGCTGTTTATACTTATTTGATACACACCCTGATTTATCTCTCATCAATAATCTGCATTGTCTAATATCAGCTGTTTTGAGGTTACTTAGTAGTTTTTAATTTTACTTTTATCTTTATTTTTTGGTGGCAGGGATGTAGTTATATGCAAGATATAAATGCCATTTGGATGGATTTTTCCACCACGAGAGTACGCGCCATGACGACAAACCATGTATAAGCGTGAACCTCCGAAATCTCGAGGCTTTCTGGTGACGGGAAATTGCCTTCCCTTCTGTGTTCATGGAAACGCATGGAAAATTGGTCCGAACCCTACAGGCACCGAGCGATGGTGTTAAACAGGGAGGACGTAACCTTGCGCGTTTTATTCCATGATCTCATGCAACACACCCGCATGGAATAATCTTGGACTCACGTTACGGCACCGAACCTGTCACAATCTGGGTGCAAAACGCCAACGGGAGAGGGAAGAAAGGAACAGTGGCGGAAGTGAAACTTCCGAAAAGGCGGTCTCATACAAACACTGATCACGTAACCCACCAGCCTCCAGCTCTCGCTTTACCGTGCGCATGCACCAGTCTCTCGTCACAGCTCACGAATTATTAGGCTCGCGCATCTGTATACTTCTGCCCCTCGCGCTCCAAAAAGCCGACCCAGAAAAAGACGTGTAACGAGACAAGCGACACAAGGCATACCCCAGTCAAGGGGGAGGGGAGGGGGGATGCGAATGAACTCTCTCGACTAGCTTGGTATGGGCAGCTTTGCGAGCACGCAAGAGAGGAGGAAAAAACACCCTCTCCCTGGTCCCGCAAGACACCGTCCAGGACAGGTGCATGGTCCCAGAGGACACATCGCCAAGTCCTGGTTCTAGCGCTGGTCCATGCGGTGCTCTTTAGCAAAAGCGTCGACGTTCACCACTTGCTCTATCATTGTGATCGATTGCCATGGCCACCTTTTGGGTGTTGCAATGGTGTGATGGTGCATCCTGGAGCCTGAAACATGCCTCGCACCGACTTCTGGGGTCCCCGCTGGAGCCGCGGCGGCACCGGCGCGTGCCAGTGACGCCGACAGTGATGATGTTGTTTGTCTATGCCCTCAGCATCGCCTCTTGGGTTGAAGTGATCTTACTGGGGGGTTGGGAACACCATGCACCCCACCAGAGATTCCTCGCGCACTCATTGCCTCCAGCGCCCATCCGGACGGTGATTTATGCAATCTACTCGTTTTCCTCGGTGGGCGAGGTATTGGTACCGGCTGTCGCCTTTGTGGTGAAGCTCTGCCACAAAACTCTGACGCATAGCCACTGCTTCATTGACGCTAAACCTTGCATGTAACAGCCGCATCGGATCACCAAATCCTGGCTGGCAAGCTGCAACCTGATCTCGCGATTCTTCCTTCTCAAGTGAGGGGAGAGCGCACGACCTGGAACAATACACTGGATCGCCAGCCACGAGATCTTAATCTGGTCAAACTCTGCTGCAGCAGTGCCATGTTTCCTGTCTGGACAAGGCTTTGTTGCAAAGTTAAGCCCGTTCTGTTAGTAATTAACCCCCGCTGGTGTCGCCTGGTTCCCCCATCGTGCAAAGAGGACTAGATTTCTGATTTCGCTAATGCATCTACATGATGGATGACACGGTCGACATGCTCTGCGTGGCGCTCTGGTGCGGGTGATTCTTCCTGACACGCCTGGTTTCCCCACAACCACGAGGGCCGCCGTCGCCGTTGTTCAGATCATGGGCAATGCCACCTGCTGGCGTGTCATAGAGAATTTTTCTGATTAGGCCATGGACTTGATTTTGTTACTACAAGTACGGTGAATGAACTTGAACATTGGTGTCCATAATTTGAGCATCCATACTTAACGTCCTCCACATATATATATATATATATATACATACATATACTCTATTTTGGAAATTCCACTTGTTAAAAATTGAAATGGCACAAGCGGTGGCAGTCTTGACAAGGAAGTTTGGGGTGAAACCTAGAGTGTTGAATTGGCATGCTTGTACAAGGCTTTGAACTTTTGCAGTCAACTTGAACCTTTGTTACATAGCGTGAAAAATGAGGAGTCAGTGTTGTGGTTGGCTTACATAATTTTCAGCCGTTTTTTAATCTGAGCTCACAATTCATGTTCCTCGCCTGTAAATTATGAAAGCGTTGGTCTTCATTTTCCACACAAGAGCTCAATCAGCAGTCAATATAACTACTGCAGCACTAGCTTTCATCCTCTGAATTATTGACATTGCTGTGCCTCCTCACCTGCCTTGTGATGCATTACAACACAAACTTGATATCTGCACCAGCCAAAAGTTGCAAAGATCACACCATTGCCCAACTTGTATTGAAATGTATATGATCAAATTCAGTCTTCCAACTTTTGGTCTACAAAAATCTTCCCCCCTACTTGAGTTTTTTTTTTTTTTTTTTTTTTTTTTTTCCCTTATGAATGAATGAATTTGACAGTGGGACAATCACTTTTTGCATGCAATAGCTACACCAATGTTTGCCTTTTGGTCTTGAAACCAATCTGCCACTAAAGCCAGCAACAGGCTTTTTGTACTCTACACTATGAAGCTTTACTTGCCCCACAAGACTGGGAGAAAAACTGTGAAGCAGAACCTTGTTAATTGTCAAATATGAAAAGATAAAAGAAAAAATAAATAAAAATGATGATATACTTAAAATTGTATGTGCATATACAAATACATATATACATACACACAAAAACACACACACACACACACACACACACATATATATATATATATATATATATATGTATGAATGAATCATTCTTTTTTGTAGTTAAACCCATGGCTTGTTTACTCCAGCCAGTGCCCACAAAGAGGATGTTGTAGTGAAATATACAACACAAGCCACAGTCTAACTCCAAACATGCAATGAAACCCACCAAAGATTCTTGTACTTCCAGATGTTCATATTTGGTACAGCAATGCTTTGACATCAGTTTATATTACAGGACAAATCTTTGTGTGGTAGTGTAGCTGCACTCCAACAACCCTTCAAACACTCCACACATTTCTAGCATTCCACCACTCAAGCTTTCCCTACATAGAGCCATGCCATACTTTGCCCTTTTTGGAGTATGGGAGAAGTAATAGGTTTTGAAGACAAATCCCCAGCATTCATTGCCCTTTGCTAACTCTTTCCATGTTGTCTCTATGTTGCACACATTGAAACTTGGTGGCTGGTTTTTCAGCTCAATTCCAGTGAGTTTGTCTAGACTTCATTGTCGTTTTTATCTTCTGTTTGGTTTTTTGAATAATGGTTTGAGTTTGTTCACATGGTGATTTTTTGTTTCTCATTTCAATTAACGGGATTTCCTTTATTTTATAATTGAAAAACACAAATAAAAATAAAACTGATGTTTGGATGAAGACAAATAAACAAAACTAACTTCTCCCTGAATTTTTTACTTCAAGTAGACATATCCTAGAACAAAAAAGGAAAACTTGCAATCACAAAATCAAGTTGGGTCTTCTTCTGAAACCATCACAACAGTTAGATAATCCATTTTCTGAACATTTATTCACATTTATCTAAGCAAAGAGTCCCAGAAGAGCTTTCCTTTCCACCAACTTCAGACCCTGCTTCAGTAAAATCTAGTCACAATCAAACATTATACCTAGCTTGAGGAAGAATACAAAAAAAAAAAAAAAAAAGAAAAAAAAAAACACACACACACACACACACAAAACAAAAAAAGAAGAAGAAAAACAAAACAAAAAAACAAACAAAAAAAAAGAAGCAAGTAACTGGATTTTGAAGTTATTCAAAGCACCAACAACAAAATTCCTCACAATGTTCTTCTGGCACAACTTTTTAAACCCCATTCATTTTTATTTTATTTTATTTTATTTTTCATTCTACCAAGTCCAATCTCCTTCCTACTAACATCCACTTCAAATCATCTTGGTCGGGGTGGGTCCAACAACCCATTCATTGCCCATCCTCCACATTCACCGGTTCATTCCCCCCTCTTCAAGTTGTTCCTCCCCTTTTAACTCATATTGTATAGACTTTGTAGCTACAGCATCATGGGCAAAGTGCATATGGACACAAAAATAAATAAATAAATAAATAATCCTTGTTATTTCTTCCAGAGGACACACATACATATACCAACTTCTGGGTATGGGGGGGGGGGGGAGAATGTTTCCAGATTCCACAATGTGTGATGTACTGAGGGTGTTGCCTTCTTCATGCCCATCACCCTTTCTTTTTAAAGCCACAATGACACTGAGAACAAATATTAAAAGAGTGGGCCATGCCATTGGTTTATATGTCTCCTTTACAGTGGCTTAGAACTTCACTACTTATCATGGGCTTGCCTTGAAACTTATTCTGCAAACCTTCCAAGTTGGGTACAGTCTTTAGAATATGTAGAATTCAATGACATGACATGGGCAAGCCCCAGTCTTCCCTTGTATATATATATATATATAAAACAAAAGTTAATATTATTGCTTCTTGTTGAGTACAATGTGATCAGCATGCTAAATGAGTAATTTGCATGTTGGAGAGGTACCTTCATCATCAAGTGAAGCTACAATACTTTCAGTAAGTTACATTATTGATTAGCTTTTACTTATTCATACATTCATTTAATAAAAATTTATTTGGTTGGTCAAATGAAGACAACACACTTGTAATGCCCACTTTGAAGTTAGAAAAACACTTGGAAACTGTTACATATTTTAGTTGCATATTTTTTGCAAGTTTTTGATGTAAATTTATGTTAGTCACAAAATACTAAAAAAGGATGTATGTTTATTTTAGCACTTGATTACTACACTTTGCATCAATAATTTGGTAAATGCTAAACCATTCATTCCTTGAAGTGTGGTTTAATACAAATGAGTTTCTTGCAAGGCTGAATATATTAATAGACACTATGTAACACTAGAGGACATAAGTGGGTTTTCCATTTAGATAAAGATTGATGTTAAGATGAAACAAAACAATCACAATTAAAAACAGTTTTTGTATACATAATATGCAATCCTCAACCTGGAGTTTTAAACAGCAGAAGTAGAGAATACACTGTAAATAGACATGTAATGGTTATTTATTCATCTATGCAATTATTGAAATACCTAGATGCATGTAATGATTTCTTTTTGAATATATATATATATATATATATATATATATATATATATATCTAGAAAATAATTAATTCAAAAAAATTATCTTTAAACTAATAAAATAATTTATTAAAATTTTACATCAATTATTACTTGTTATACTTTTATTACAGTTTTTTAAAGTAATTTTAGAAAATTAATTTTTTACAGTAAAACCTAAACGATTAATTTTGAATTAATTTTTTTGCATATAATAGATTATTTTGTTTATATATATATATATATATATACATGCATTCATACACACATATATAAATATCAAATAATATTAATTACTTCAAGTATATTAAATTAATAATATTTTTTAAAAATATCAAAAATATAATTTTATGATTCATATTCAGACTTATATTACACACAATTGTTTTTATGTAAAGTTTATATATAAGTAAGTATGAAATATACCTAATTAGTCGACTATTTAGTTAGTTTGTTGGAAAATATTTCTAACTTACTTTAATTCTTATAACATTCTAAAATCTTATTTAATATTTTTAAGTATTTTTATTCAATATTTTAATTATTTCATTTAACTAAATAACTATAAATAATAATTAAATCTTTTAACATCAAGTAACTCAACAAAATTTTAAGTTTTAGTTTTGAAAAGACATACCACTTTATTAAATGGAAGTAATTGTTGTAAACATATTATGTCATTAACATTTTCTTTTGGGAACATTTAAAAAGCATCTTAGATTTATGGATTCTTTTAGAAAAGCCGTGTAACTAAAAAAAAATACTTCTTTTAGAAGTTGTATATATACAAACAAAAAACTATAAAAGACACCTACAACTTAACATTACATGGCTTTAACTATAAGTTTCATAGTTTCCAAGAAGCTTTCATTTGACCTTCTTAACAAGTATTAAGTATGGAATTAAAATTAAAGCAACCCTCAATCTTAACTTTTTTTTAAAAAAAAATAATATCTATCTATCTATCTATCTATCTATATATATATATATATATATATCTTGATTTCGGTTTAAGACTCTCTAGTTTTTTGTATTTAATAATGGTTATTCTAAAATAATTCTATCTAATAATTAAGATTTTTTTGTTCTCTCTATTTTTTTAAGAGTTTCCTAATATATGTTATATATATATATATATATATATAATATTTATAATATATATATTATATATATTAAATATATATATAGATATATAATATTTATAATATATATATTATATATATTAAATATATATATAGATATATTATATTTTTATGATATTATTAAAAATAAATTACAAAATCATACTTATCATCTTGCAATTTATTAAATTTAAAATTAAATATATATATATATTTTTTAAAATTCATAAATCTAAAATAAAAATTATTTTATTTTTAAAATTTATATTTACTAATTTTTAAAACTTTTATGAATATTATTTAAAATATTTTTTATTCAAGAAAAAATCCATTAAATATTTATTTTAATAAATTGATTAGTCTTTTTTGTTATCAAGCAATATCCAAGTATTTTTTTTTTTATTATATAATATGATATTCTGATATTTTTTATGTATTATTATTAATATATTTTTAGATGCTAAATAAAAAAATCCTTTTAAAAATATTTATAAAAGTCTTTTTTTAATTTTAATTTTAATTTTAGTTAATTTTTTATTATTTTATGAATTTTTAATAATTTACTTATCAAATATTTTAATGTAGAATTGTTAAATTT